TAAAAATATTGCCCGCCGGAAAAACGAGATATATTTATGAAAAATGGAAACGAAGGTCGTGATGTACTCTGTGACTCACAAAAGCGTTACAGTCGCCCGTGGGCATAGGGAGGAAAATTCAGACCGCGCTAAGAACCGATCAGATTGCAGGATTTGTTACCATGCCTTCTGAGAAAAAAATAAATAGATAAATTATTATTAGATTACAAGCGGGATCATGGAAATTCTTCACGTGAAGAATAATGCAGAAAATGAAAACGGTTTTATCACGTCTTATCCGGTAAGTGACTATAACTACCACATTAAAAAATGTAAAGCTGTTAAATTGCAGAGATTCCGGCTTACTTTTAGCTCCACATGCAAATGTTTGCACAGATCGAGACTGTAAAGAAGACGACTGAACTGGCGTGACATGCGCAGTTCGACACTTTGCCAAAGTGCGCGCTTATAAATTTTGAGCTTGTTAGCTGCTTACCAAGTGGCAAATTGTGGCAAGAACAATTCATTATAACGGGAGCCAGTGAGAGTGTTCTGTTGAAGAGTGACATTTTTAGGATTTTTGTCTAAGCGATGCCGGCTTCCGTGCTACAATGTTCCACCATTGAGCTACAGGCAAGTCTGCGGTGAGTCAGGCCATCACGAGCTTCATATGTGACACATGTCCTGCAGACTTCAAGGATTAACAATGTCGAAAGCGTCATGTGAGTAAAAAAAATGAAACAGGTAAGAACTTTTGAGCTGGGCAATCACATAAAGGAGCAGATTCATTACAAAGCTGTTCAATCCACAGAAAGTTCGATTCATTAGTTAATTACACTCAATTTCCCGCATCAATGACGTCAGAACTAAATTACATCATTACCTTCTATGACATCATAATCACTTCTCGCCTTGGTTTCAGCAAGGAAGTAGGCTCATTCATTTCAAGATTTGAGCTTGTATGTGTAAAATTTAGTGCAAAAATTCAAGTGAGAAGTTAAAAAAATGACGAATAAGGTCCAACCCGTTGTTATAGAGGTGGGCGAAAACTCTGAAGCGAGCGAACAGCGTGAAAAATGGACCTCGAAAGCTGACTTTATAGCGTCATGTATTGGCTATGCGGTTGGCCTGGGGAATATATGGAGATTCCCGTATCTTTGTTACAAGAACGGCGGAGGTAATTTGTTTAAGGGTACATATCTATCAAAACTGCGTCTTTTTAATTAGAGGTGTAGTTTAGGTTTACAAGTGCACACTTTTTAGAATCGTCTTGCAACAGTCAGTCCATGAAAACATCTGGTGTCTGATTTTGCACTCTGCAACGCTTTCTTCAATTCGAGAGAATCTAAAAAAAGTGAATTGAGTAAGACTGGCAAACAGAAAAGAGGCGATAACAATACAGAAACGAAAAGTGCCATATGTTGCCTAAGCTTTTGCCCGGAAACATGTGACGTTTTCCGTATCTTTGTTACAAGAACGGCGGAGGTAATTTGTTTAAGGGTACATATCCATCATAACTGCGTCTTTTTATTCAGGGATGTAGTTTAAGTTTACAAGTGCACACTTTTTAGAACCGTATTGCAATAGTCAGTCCGTGAAAACATCTCGTGTCTGATTTTGCACTCTGCAATACTTTCCTCAATTCAAGAGAATCTAAACAATGTTAGTTGGGTAGGACTGGCAAACAGAAAAGAGGCGATAATGATACAGAAACGAAAAGCGCCATATGTTGCCTAAGCTTTTGCCTGGAAACGTGTGACGTTTTCCGTATCTTTGTTACAAGAAAGGCGGAGGTAATTTGTTTAAGGGTAGATATCCCATCATAACTGCGTCTTTTTATTCAGGGGTGTAGTTTAGGTTTACAAATGCACACTTTTTAGAACCGTCTTGCAATAGGCAGTCCGTGAAAACATCTCGTGTCTGATTTTGCACCTTGCGACAATTTCTTCAATTCAAGAGAATCTAAACAATGTTAGTTGGATAAGACTGGCAAACAGAAAAGAGGTGATAATAATACAGAAATGAAAAGCGCCATATGTTGCCTAAGCTTTTGCCCGGAAACATGTGACGTTTTCCATATCTTTGTTACAAGAACGCGGAGGTAACTTGATCGCGTGTAGATATAAATTATAGGCTTAGCTTCGTCTTTTTATTCAGTAGTGTAGCTAAAGTTTACAAGTACATACTTTCTAGAATCATAATTTGGTATAAGAAAAATCCTTGTAATTCAAAGAGGTTGCATTGCCGCATATAGTGTCATCTGTAACACATCGTTAAACTATCTTCAATTGGAGGGAGTCTACAAAATGTCAGTTGAAAAAACAGACAGAAATCAAGATAAATCGGAAATAAACAAGGATACCTGAGGATGGAGAAGATTGACAAGGATTGTAAATACCTGAAGAATAACATTAACCTTGTTTTCCGCGCTAGCAATGTAGCTCCTTCAATCTTTCGCGCGTACTTTGCCTTCCATCGTAAAGCATACACAAGGATTTCAGCTCGTTCTCCTCTTCCTAGGTTTGCATTTCTAATTTCTTTTATTTTTCATCGACAGCTACATTCTTAATTCCATATTTTCTGACATTGATAACCTGTGGAATTCCTTTGTTTTACCTGGAACTGGCCCTCGGACAGTATGTGAGCCTCGGTACCATCAAAGCTTGGGCAGTGGTTTGCCCTGCGCTTAAAGGTTAGTGTTGTATAAGATATCCTAAATAATTTCTGGCACAAGGGTTACTTGGAGATATCACAATTGAATATTGAAAAAAAGCTGAGTAACTCCAATAAGAGATGTAATGACAACTACTACGCTCTACAAGACAAATTTTCCACTTTTGAATACTCTAAATTGAATAAGGCGTTTTCACAATCGATGAAGTAGCGTGCTGCTCTTTTACTGATGTAAGGCGCGCTTTACACCGTTAACACGTTGCGGCAACTCAAATGTTCCGTTATCTTTCATTTGCAGGGATTGGAGTTGCCATGGTGATTATTTCCTTCCTGATCTCTATTTATTACAACGTTGTTATATCCTGGAGTCTTCTGTATCTATACCACTCCTTTGCTTCTGTTGTCCCGTGGAAATCTTGTGGCAATTCGTGGAACACTGCAAATTGCAGGTAAATAACGACATTAAAAAGTTATATTTTTGTTGTAAAAAAACGATTTTACTCAACATATCAATCAGCAAACAATTTTTAAGTTCATTTTTTTTTTTCGCGAAGAAAATGACGCCAATCTCTACTTAGTAAGATTTCGACCCTCAAAAACATTTATAACAACAATGACCCCAGTTGTAATAACTTTGTAATATTCTTTTCTTTAGTGAGGACTTCAGAAATTCTTCTGCTAACTGCACGACTCTCAATTGCTCAATGACCGCAATCTCCCCCAGCCAGGAGTTCTGGGAGTAAGTTTTAGTTTTTAGAGATTCGCTGATCTTACAAATTTAAACAACCTCGGTTATTTGCAGCGCAGTGCATTACTGATAGGTTGCCTTGGCAGTCTTTAATTAACACTGATTTTATTTGGTTTCAAGAAATTACGACTGCTTAACTTTAACAATCTTTGCACAAGATTTGGAACGGGTTTGCGAGTAAATTTGAGGTAAATCATTTCACACACAAGAGCATGGACACAAATACACATGGCAGAATGTCATCAAAGACAAAGAGAGCTGGTCAGTGTTACACATAAGCAGACCATTACACAAAAATTTTCCAGTCACGTCGTCAGCTCATGGCCAGTCGAAAGGATGGAAACAATTTATGGAATAATGTCCATATCACTGCCTAAAGAGCACATTCTTTCTACTTGCTGATAAATAAGTTTCTTCACAAACAAAAAGTTGTCACTTTGCGAATGACATTGTTTAATTTTACGACTTACGGTCTTTTAAGGCGTCGTATCTTGGACGTTTCAAATGGCATCGACGAGCCGGGTGAGATTCGTTTACCTTTGGCCACCACGTTACTTATCGCGTGGATTGCTGTTTTCTGTTGCATCCATAAAGGCATCAAGAGCTCTGGGAAGGTAAACGAAGAAAATACAGTGAAAAAAATCAATCTGAATTTTACTTGTTATTAAAATTTGCATTCTCTTTGTACTTTTTCAAAAATCATTTGGCAAATAAGTAGCCATCAAAAAAGAATCGTGGCGCATATAATCTCTTGAGTCTAGATTGTCGTATCGCTAATAGGTGGCAGGGCACGATAAGAGAATTTTAATAATGCAGTAATATAAACACAAGCATCTTCCCTCATCTTGTGCTATACGTCTTGCTTTTCTGGGATAAGCTTATCTCGGACCATCAATGATGCATAGAACAAGATATGGGAAATCACTGTGCCAGGCGCAATCGATGGAATCCTGTTTTCATCAGTCACGATATTTTTTCTTTTGGTTAATATCTCGACCCCTCCTGTTCACAGGTGGCCTATTTCACGGCCATCTTCCCCTACATTGTGTTGTGTATCTTACTGGTGCGTGGTGTCACTCTGCCTGGTGCACTTGATGGGATCATCTTCTACCTAAAACCAGACGTCGAAAAGCTCTTAGAGCCACAGGTGAGAAAGAAAATACTGGGTTCTGGTAAGAAGATGATACACACAGAAGCATTTGTCTAATTTAACACGACGCCTCTCAGTTTTTATCTTTATCAACACTGTTCAGTTTCTTAAACTAGTTTTGTTGTTGTTTATAGGTTTGGATCGATGCCGCTACCCAAATATTTTTCTCCCTCAGTGTGGGCCTTGGAGGCCTGGTCACCTATGCCAGCTACAATGAATTCAATAACAACTGTGAACGGTACAATATGCTTTACACACAGCGCTTTCTCTTTCCCACGTCACAAGTTACTTAAAATGAGCGAACAAATGAGTTATTGCCTTTAATTCGCTCATCTATAGAAACTTTATAAACGTCAACCACCGTGCAATGACAGATGTCAACCTGATTAACAAAAGACGAAAGACTACTGATGAAAAGTCCATCTCCGCCAATTGATTGACATTCTCATGTTTACCTGACGTATTTGTGTCTGTTTCTAGGGACGCAGTTGTGGTATCGTGCATCAATTGTGCAACCAGTGTAGGCGGAGGGTTTGTGATCTTCAGTGTGATTGGCTTCATGGCCCACACCCTTAATAGGGAAGTGGCACAAGTTGTATCCTCTGGTAAGATAACAAGTTAGGGCGTGGTCAGTCTCCACCATGATTAAGGTTAGGGAGTGGGGGTTCATCGTTTTGACGGGTTCCTAACCTTAATTCTGAGTTGAAAACAAAAGCAGTTTGTTTTAATCAAATTGTAGGACCTGGTCTTGGTTTTGTGGCTTATCCTGAAGGGATTGCTCAAATGCCGGCTGCACCTGTTTGGGCTGTGATGTTCTTCTTTATGCTTTTCACGGTTGGACTCGGCAGTCAGGTAAGACAAATTTCACCACTCTCATTTATAAGAACATTCGTAATTCTTATTATTCTACTCAAATTCAATCTTTGATCTGACTGAGCTGGTGTCTGAGTGGCTTACTGACTCAGTGACTTTTTGACTCGGTGACTGATTAACAAGTTAAATGACTCACTGACTGATTGACTGACTGACTGAAATTGACCAAATAAGTGACTCCATAAATGTATGACTCTCTGACTCACTTATGCTTTGACTGACTGTGGAATTCATTAAGAACTTAATTCACTCTACAGTGTTAAAATCATAACTTATTAACGTTTCCAATATTTAGTTTGTGTTTACAGAGACAACGATTCGGGCGGTGATGGACACCTTCGTCAAACTTCGTCCCTATAAGGGACGATGCCTCTTCTGCCTTTGCGTTATTTCATATCTTATTGGGCTCTCTTGTGTCACTAAGGTTAGTTAATTAATAATGGTAATAGGACCAAGTGGTGTCCAATTCGGTCTGGAATCATATGAGTGATCACAAAATCGGACGAACGCGAAGCGCGGGTCAGATTTGTTAATTAATTATGAGTATGATTCCAGATAGAATTGGACATCACAAAGTCCTGTTACCAATAAATCATAACCATTACAATTTCCGGAAAAAAAACTCATTTATTTGAGAAAATATCTTCAATGAAGACATTGTCTAAAGTAAGAAATTTCTCGTTTTTGAATTCCTCGAGGTTTGTAGGGTAGATGGTTGTTGCTATGGTTGTTGTAATCAACTCAATGATTGGTGGATTTAGCTGTGTGGACTTAATATGATTGGCTCCTTCGACTGTCCGATTACAGGTGTCCGATAACAGCCAACTTTCCGATTACTCCGTTCGATTACAACTCTGCAGAATAGTTAGTTAAATATAAAGTAGCTTTTGCACCAATCGCATTTGTGAAAATTGTAATGGTTATGATTAAATGACAAATGGGCCCTATGGATCTTGACATTTTTATTGAAAACAAAAAGTTAAATAGTGCGTTTATTTGAAGATTCTCAGGATTCGTTGCTGATTTAAAATGACCAAAACTGGAAATTATTTAGAAGAGATCATCTTTCAAGAGGTCGAATAATTTAATTTCCTTTTTTTATTTCCTATCAGGGAGGAATCTATGTCCTAAACATATTTGACAGCCAAAGTGGAGGCATTTCTTTGATTTGTGTGGTTGTTCTAGAAGCTGTTGCTGTCAGTTGGGGATATGGTGAGTTCTCTCATCAGAGCAGCAGTGCTTAAAAAATTTTTACCTAGTTACTGACGAGAAGCTAAAGATTTTCACATTTTCTTTTTAAAGGAGTTGATAAATTCTCAGATAATATCAAGGATATGATTGGAAGGAAACCCAGCAAGTACTTTGTCATCTGCTGGAAATACGTCACACCTCTTGTTGCAACGGTAAGGCCATGCATTTGTGATACATAAGTTTTGCTCCGTTCATACGTGCACAGATCGAGTGCTTAGTTCATATCATGAAAATCTAAAAGAAAGCTTTCAGATTGAGTGTTGTAAACCAAAGTTATCACCTTGACCAATCAGCATAAAGCTGAAAATCACCAGTAACCAATCAGAATTGAAAGTGAAGCTGCATGACAATTTCAAGCTTTCGGGAAAATCCAATGATCAATCACAACGTTATCACCACAGCCAATCAGGAGAAAGCTCAGCATACTCCTTAGATCGCTAAATCACCCTTGCACAACCCCACCCCCTCCCCTCTCTGTAGACATTTTATGTTACTGATCGTATGTCGCATTGCTTAACACAGTTGATATTTCTGGGAAGCATCACCCAGTGGAAGAGGATCACGTACAATGGATACATGTACCCCGACTGGGCTCAAGCTGTGGCATGGCTGCTGGCTTTATCGTCTTTTCTGGCCATACCCATTTTTGCTCTCTATACAATTTTCCATCCAAAAGGATCCTTTAGAGAGGTATGAAAGATTTACTGTCGAATTAAATGGCATTGCAGGATTAGCACGTGACATTTGAAGAAGTCTCGATTCCAGATCAAAAGGTCTTGGCTAAACCTTGACTGAATCATTGTCTATTGCTGTCATTGGGTGCTCTTTATCTGAGGGTACTGGCTTGAGGACGGTCAGGAAACCTTGATGACCCGCGAAGGGTAAATGGCTGCAGCCTAAGATTCCAATAAGGGGGAAGGAAAAATACTCCAATGTATTTCATAATGCAGAAATATAGGATATTACACGGCCACGGGTGGAAACAAATTTTACCCTTTGAAAAATCGTAACTACACCAGGACGAGGTCTTGTAGGTATGTGACTAGGTTTAATACGCAAACTTAAGTAAAATTTTGGCGGAATATGAAATTTAAAGACTTTAATGCAAGGTTTCTCAAGGGAGCATTTTCATATTTGCTTATGACCAAAAAAATGATATCCACTCTTGTGTTTTTATAGCGATTGAGGAAAGCAGTGAGTCCCAATGTCACAGTTCTGAATTCTGTGGCTGAACGCCATAAACTGCCAAATAGACCAAGGTAAAGTTTTGTGAACTATTGGGCATTTCAATTATGTTACATATGACCACAATTAGATTATAAGCAATCCCTGCTTTTCGGCCAACGGGAAAAAAAATTGATTTTAGAGTGCCTCGCGGAACTCGGGGAATAAGGCGCACGTACTTTTATACTCAATGAGTAAGGGAACATGGATGGTTTCGGAGGTTGACTTTGACAAGAATTGACATTCGGCCGCAGCAGTCTGGGACGAGAATGCTTCTGCAAGAATATTTTCCTTTGGGTTATTTTTTTTTGGCATTAAATAATCTCATCACCTTGAAATTTGTCTTTTGTCTATTATATTTTCGTGTGTGTTGAGTCACGCTACGGGAGAGACGCGCGAAAAGCAGATAACATGCGGGGGAGAATCGCGTAAGGGAAGAAACGCGTGAGGCGAGAAACGTGGGAAAATAGGACTGCGATTAAAAAATTATGGCGGTCTCTCTTTCTCCCCCCTCCCTCACGTTTGTCTCGTCCTGAAGGCTCCTTTTACGCTTGTCACCTTATCATACGATGTTATTTAACCTGTGTCTAATCTCCTCTTCTGTTTTGCGTTTACAGAAAATGCCCTGAAACCAGGATCGATTTTAGACAAAAATCTTGAGACATTGTAAATTCTGGCTTCATCGAAATTTGATGTAAAATTTGTAAATTGTTTGTCGCGCCCGTAAAAATAATTTCTTTTTTTTTTTGTTTTAAAACTGGGAACTGGAAAATAAACCAAAAAAAAAAAAAATAAAAAAGTGCTTAAAAAATACTATTTAAAACTGGGAAAATCATTTAAAAACATAAAAAAAAGTAAGCACGAGCTATTGTGGAAAGCTTTAAAACAGAAAAAGGCGATAAAGAAAAAAAAAAAACGATAAAATGAAAAATAAGCAACAATAATTAAGAGAGAAATGTTCTTTGCAATAATATATATTTTTTTTACACAAAATAGGACACAGTATAGAAACTAGCACAATACGTCGTGTTTTTTTAATCCAAGTGTCCTCTTGTTCATTTTCGGTTCCTCCTGTTTTACTGTTCTTGTGGTTATTGTTCTTTTGAAGCTTCAAAATAAAGAATTTACTAAACACTGAAAAAACAGAAAACGTTTCATTTGTTTTGATTGCTACTAGCCATACAAATTTGTGTGAGATTTTAGTCAGTGGTTGAAAACTGAAGGTGAAGTCAACCGAGAGATTACCACCGCTGAAGCTTACAGTAAGTACTGTGGACGGTTTGCGGACTGGATTTTGACATGTGCGTCACGTGATCACATGTAAGGACAGTCAATCAAGCCCACACTTCGCGATCCATCAGAAGGTCATTTCGGGTCGATTACGAGCTTGCCTGTAGACGTCTTCGTGATTGGGGCTCAAATTAACATCTTAGACTTGCAAAGTATAATAGAAAGGGACACACTTCATTTTCGCTCATGAATTTGAAGGAGTGTCAGGGTATTTTCTCTTCGTTCCGTTCGTTAATGGGAAATTGAGGCAGAAGCTTTCCAAATTTCAAGGTTCGTTTATTTATGTTTACACACGAACCAATTTGAACTCAGGGGAAACACCTGTCAACTGCGCAAGTGCGGGAAAAAACGCAGACAAAGTTGTGATAAGTTTTAATCTTGCTCCTGAATTGGTTGAAATGATGGCACGAGGTTCTTATACCAATCACACTTAGCAGTTACCTTTTCTTCAAAAAAAAAAACAACAAGAACAAATTTTGAAAATTTTCGATTGACGCTGATTTGACTTCAAGCTATGATTGGCTGCTTGTCATATTTCATTTCCTAACGTTGACGTTTCGAGCGTTAGCCCTTCGTTAGAACGAAGGGCTAACGCTCGAATTGTCAGCTTTGAAACCGTCTATGGTGGCGAATTTACATTATCAACTCAGTTGATAAAATCAAATTATCTTGTCAAAAATACCCTCATTTATTTTCTCTAAAAACATACCCCCTTTAAATATATCTTTTAGTTTGCTCATCGACCGTCTAATGACTCTTAATCGAAAAGCGCTCGCTGCAAATTCAACAATGTTCGTTAATAAAATTCGCCTCAAACATAGATTTGTTTGACGCCCGTTGGGTCTAAAAGCGTGACGACTTTGTATAGGTGTAATATAATGAAGAAATGTAAAACGGTTTCCGTGTTTACATCAGGCTATGTAAATACGGAAACCATTTTACATTTCTTTTATAAAATAACTAATGAAAGAGGAACGAAAACCGTGTTTACATACGCTCATGTAAAATGGTTTTATGGCCAATCAGAGCGCGCGTACTATTTGAATTATTTCATAAATATAAATTTACAGATACATATATATGTTTCTACGTTTTAGACCTTTGTACTTCCTATATTTTTCCCTCCTCAAGAAGGTTTAAAGATTATTAACAATTATCCCATGGTGAGCTTGATAACGTATAAATTAAAGTTACATTGATGGCTCTTCATCAGAAATGGTAAATTTCACAGAATTGCTCTCTGTATTCAAATTGTGTGATGCATTTGACAGCTTCTGTTTTGGTTTCTTCGTATGCGTCTCTTTCCTTCTTCAAATGCTTTCTTGTCGGGTTTGAAACGAGGTCAAGAGATTTAAAAACCCCATTTCACACCTGAAAGACTTCGTATAAGTTTTTCTTGAAGAACACTATTTAGTTATCACGTTTTTTCTACAGAAGATGAAGTCGTATTGGAACTGTTAAACTCCTAAATAATTATTTCTGTTGTGATAAGTAAGGAGATTTCACCAAACGATCTCTTCGAAAGCTGCAAGAAATGACCTCAGCGCTGATTCCCTCCAATTTCTCATCAGATATGAATGCAACAGAACTGCCAGCAGTATCTTTACCTCATTTCCACAACAGAAACGATAACCTTGCCCATCGTATACAAACCCAAGCGTTGAGTCGGTGCCTTGAAGAACTTATATAAGATGATAACTTTTATGATTGTTCGTGACATTATTCGAATGTGAGGTGTGTTTCGTGTGTGTCGGTAGTTCGTGTTTTCTGCGGTTGGCGTCGTATTTTGCCTGCAAGTAAAATTATGATTAATGTTTGCAACAGATGCCAAATACAGCTGTACGTGAGGTATAAGTTTTTCAAAAACCATTAAAAAAATACAGAATTTCCAAGATCCGCTCTCTATTCCAATCTGTCGAAACAAATCTCGAGTGCGCGTTTTAATGGCTTCGTACGAGCCAGGATGTTTCACTTTTATGTATGTTCCTCATACTGTTCTTTACAAATTTCCTAAGGAGCTTACCAGAAGAATTTGTTTAATAATCAAGAGCTGTTTAGAACGTGATCATTTCCTTCATACTCGTGACCTTAAAGTGTGATTCAGGGCTGATATTGTAAGGAGAAATACGACGCATAGTTACTAACTATGTACGACGCTAGTCGCTCTCTGTGTTTGACTCACCAAACAATAATCGTTGATAATGAAACTCACCTTGTTGTATAGAAACACCCCAAAAATGGCAGCTAACATCCCCACTCCGTTATACAAACTGACGGGATTTCGCAGGAACATTATAGACACTGTAATTACTAAAATCCTTTTAGTGGCGGAAGCCACTGCATAACTTAGTGGAGTCACTAAAGATAACACTGTAAAAGCCACCATATTCTGGGCAAAATTTAAAAATCCATTTATCGTTAAGATTACCAACAGCCATAGAATATCCTCCTTTCCCTGAAATGAAGAAAGCAAATTGTTATCAACCAAAAATTTATTCTGTACTGTATTAGAGTTAGCTGGATTTTCTACGTCTACAGTAGGTAATAACAAGATTTTAAGTGCAATTTGGTGTTCATAAGCACGAGTAAACTTTTTAAAGACAGAAAAATTAACCAAGTGCTTATTTCACCAAACTGCAAGAGAAATCATATGATAACTTGTTTATGATGTACATGAAAAAAAAAAAAAGAGGAAGGCAGTACAGACGAAATTTTGAAAGCGTGCACGCGCTATTTGTAATTTGCACGTGTGTTACATCTTCGCACCCATCTTACATAAGAATTCACTCGTTTTTACCAATCAGAATCGCACAATTTTTCATGTACATTATCAGACACGGTATTAAAAGAATTATGTAATGGGAAAAACACAGGGGGGAACAGACACCAGACCCACACCTGTACCAGATGTCTGACAGAGGTTCTAGCACTGAGCTTGGGGTAGAAGGAGACGTTGGTGTGAAATACATGTTGGCCACATACATGTACAAGCTTTTCACCAGTGAGTGAAAAGTTAGTGTGCTGTACTCCAGGTGGAGAGTCTAGGTTTGAGACTTGGCTACGTCATTCCACTATGTTCTGGGGTAAAACACTTCACTCTCACCATGCCTCTCTCTACCCAGGAGTATAAATGGGTACTGGCAAAATATCAGTGAACCCTGATGAAATTCTGGAGGGGGTGTAACCTTACAATGGACTCACAAACCATCCAAGGGGGAGAAGTGATACTTCATGCAAAGGGAAAAAGGATAAGGCATACAGACAACAATTTTATGTGCAATATCAAAATGTGACACATAATCAGCAAAATAGAAAGTGTACATGTAGAAAAAGTTTGATTGTAATTTTACGCTTACCGATTCAAGTTCAAGTATAATTCTTCTTAGATCATACAGTGCCCAAGCAGGTAGCAACATGGCAGATGCTATAGTTGCCATTAGCAACAACAAACGTAAGTGATTCAGTTGCAAGTCTCTAAGTGCCTGATCATTAAAAAAAAATATATACATGAAATTTTATTAGAAGAAGTATCATACAGCAAAACAACTAAAATGTAGCAGATATAAATTAAAAGAAAAAAAGTTTAAGAGAAGGATGGAGGAAAGGGGTGCCAGGGAGGGTGTAGTAAGAGAAGGCTGAAGAAAGAAGTGTTAGAGGCTCTAGCCCAAGATAAGCCTACAGAAGAGGCCTTTTGCGGCATTTCTTGGGCAAGAAGAGACAAAAACAAGTGTTGTGACCAATTTTGCCTCTATGGAATTATAAGAAGACTTTAAAAGAAATCTGTTGGCACTTCTGCCTTAGCACTTGTGCAATTACTGTCTTTGTTTCCATTTCCATTTCCATTATTTATGTTTCCATTGTTCAATTTCAGGTGTGCACTCATTAGTTAATGCAAATGATCTAAATTTTTAATGACATAATGTGTTTGGTCCTGCATTCAAAAATAAAGTTTTTCGAGGGGGGGGGGGGGTGTTGAGTCAAACTGGAGTTGTGTCGTTCCTTCCGCACTTAAAGGGTTGTTATGGATTTTAGGCATTTTATGGATTTTTAGTGCTGTCAGGAAAACCATCAGAACAACAATTCAAGAGAGGAGCGAGGAGAGTGCAAGGGGTGAGTAGCAGGTTAGAGAAAGGGTGAAAAAAGACATCATTTTGGGCTGTCCACCTTTTGGTGCAAGGTCACTTTTGCTAAATCTGAAAATCCGGAAAAATGACTCAATTGGTACTATTATAGAGAGTGAAGAAAATGTCCTAACTATGCAATGAGATTCAAGAAAATGAGGCTCAGGCCCCAGTTGTCTGGATCTTCAATGCTGTAAGATTAGCAAGGGACATAAAATAAAAATTCCATACATTGCAGTGTAGCTGTTGTAAAGCCCCAATGATATTGTTTACAGTTAAATTATTGAAATTTTAATCTGAGCTCAAAAAAGTGCTCAATCATCCATAGAAAAAGATGAGTGAGAAAAGGGACAGAGGGAAAGAAATAAGGGGGAGTAGAGGGAGAGAGGAATGATGTACAGTAGTAGAGGGAGGAGAGGCAGTGCTTACCTTTTTAGTAAAAATATTCTGTACAGCAAAAGTAAAGGTTGCTAACAAGGCACTAAGAAGACCAACCATGTCAAAAGATAATTCCGTGGCTGTGGCAATCATGACTCCACCAACAATGGGAATTAAAGAACAGTAAACCTAATAAGAGCACCAAACAACTGTCAATAGTGAACATGATGACCAGAATGAATTCATGAACATAACATATTCATATGAAGTGCAAATTACAAAACAAATCATGATTTATCACAAATCCATCCATCTACATGTACATGTGTTAACCAGACTTAAACCCCAAGGAAAGATGAAGAAGTAACATCTTTTTTCAACATCAATACACTATCCAGCAGAGAGGCAATTAGAATGAAGAAGAATATCATTTAGGAGTTTTTTTTTCATCAGACACCACATCTCACAATTAAAATTGAAAAAAGGAAAGAAGAAAAAGAACCTAAATTAGACAGTAGCAATAATTACTCATGAGATGTGAGAAAACAGGGGAGAGGGGAGTTGGATGGTTGCCAGTTTTGAGACACCCCAGTTCAATGGAGTTTTAAACCAAATATATTTGGAAAGAATTAAATAAACAATATTTATTATTATACTTGTCTGCATAACAATGAAAGATTTGCATAAACTCACCGCTCCTGATTGCGTTTCTCCTAAAATTACTCTTGATAGAATAACTGTGAAGACTGGCATTGTTGCCTGTAAAAAGATATGAGCAAAACTTTTAATGGTTCTTTTGAGCAAGACTGTAAGCCATAATTGATCCCACTGGGAATAATAATATTGACAATCATATTTTTAATTTCCCTAACTTAACTTGTCTGTTGATCTGAATTGCAAATACATCTACCATGGACTCCTAGTGTTTCAACGCTCCAGGTATCTTTATATTAAACTTCCTTTTAATCCACAGTTGAACAACTGAAGATTTTAGAAAACAGTTGAGAGCAACTTAGAGCAGTAAAAGAACCTGATGTTATTTTTGATGACACATCACCAATATCAAATGGAAATAATAAATAGTTGATTATGATTGGGATCCCCATAGAAACAAAAATGTGAGGTTAAAATTCATAACAAAGAAAAGTGTGGAAATAACAACAGGAACTTTCTGAAACTTCCCACAAGATTACTATATACATCATAGTGTTGGGGTTATAGGGTTTCTTGCAAAAAAACTCTTTCACCCCAAAAGGTGACTTTCTCCTTACCAGACCATCCCTAAATCAAATATTAAGGTCATGAGAATAAAGAAAATGATCACCAACTAAAGAAACTCTTGATTGTTAAACAAATTCTCCTTGTCAGAACCTCTGAGGTGACCACCCCAGGTGTCACTTTCTCCGTATTAAAATATTCCGAAAATAAATCTGTCCTAAGGGTGAATTGAACTTACCTTAACTTGAGTGTGGTATCCATGAAAATTCATGAAAAAAAGAAAAGAAAATATGCTTTTAAATTTTAAAAAAATGTTTAAAAAATGAACAATCGAAGGGAGCTAAGCCACCTTAGACATTCTTTTGAAAGAAATTAAAATGAAAAAAAAAGCTACAAATGACAACTGATGGACAACACATCAGGAAAGGAATAATATTCTTCCTTAAAAAAACAAGAAAAACAAAATTTTTTTTGAAAGAATTCTGTACCCTTTGAGTAAAAGTAGTGTGATCTCTCTGTGATTTTAATGTTTCCAAATCAGAGACAAAAAAAAACCCTAACACAAAAAAAATAAAAAAATTGAGGTGTCACTTGGGTATCACACTACTTTGCAACAACCGTCTTTTCTGATGTGCTACCTTCATTGCGGAGTTAACGCTATGAACCGTAAGAGTGACCAGCAGCTAATTACTCCTAAAAGTAACACTGCTAAACCATTCATGCATTAAGGTCGTGAGAAAAAAAATAATGATCCAGAAGCTTTGATGGTGAATCACGACAAAAACTCGTTTTCCTCGCTTCTTGGATACGGGATTACCTTCAGTTGTGTTTCAATACCAATCCATAATCATTCGTGATAACCCTTGCTGAACAGGCTGTTTTACGTTAATTTATCAAGATATAACAACTAACGCCGATAAAACTGAAATCATTGAGATCGAGTGTCAGCATTAGCACAGCTGTTCCTCTAATTCAATGACGTCGCGTCGTGGAGTGGAAACCAAAACGCCACGAGTTGCCTGATTTGTATCATAATATGCACTTCCACGGGTCAACAACCTAAATCGAATAAATTGCCTGTAGATTTGAACGGCTGATAATCACAGAGAACGTGCTTAAGATAAACTCTGAGAATGAGTAACAAATATTAATTTTTTTTTTAAATTGCTTGAAGCTTTCTGATCAATCAAATTAGTCCTGAAGCAGTTCTTCTCCGATGTTTATTAAAATAATAGGAACCTATCTTTGTAAAATTATTGTTTTTTTTTATATCAACCTACCCGTGTGAGAATACGAGACAGGTACTTTCCATATGCTGACATGTGCCGTTATCGCAGCAAAAGCCTTTCCAAAGGAAAGTGGTAAGATCAGTTTCAGAAGACTCGATTTCGGCAAAGATTTCATAGGAGGAACACTCCAAACACGAAGAGTTGGCGACAAATATAGGGCCGTTGAGACGACTTGAACCATGGCCACGGTAACAGGAAAAGGAAAATCTGTCAGTATCTTCTTCCCGATAACATTGTTCGTCGAGCTGATCGTGTACCATAACGAGCACAGAAGAACTATTCGGAATGCTTCTGCTCCAAAACTCGTGGCCATGTCTTCGATCGGCTTGCCGGTTTTTCCTCGTTACCGACACGTCATAGCCATGTATCCACGCTTCCGGTTCAAATGTGTCCTATTTACTTCCGGTTTCACTCATCAATCATTTTGTTAAGACGCAATCAGTCGAGCGACATTGCGTAAATGTATCTCTCAAAAATGTACCATCGACAGTTCTTTTTATTTGTAATTTTACTAGTTTTGCCTTTTATATCGTATTCCAAAGAGGATAAAGTTGATAAAAGAAGGAATGTTCTAGTTTTCATCGGAGACGATGCCGGCTTCGAAACTCAAGTTTACAACAACACAGTTTGCAGGACCCCGAACATAAATGCATTAGCAAAACGCAGTGTGATTTTCAGGAATGGCTTCACCTCTGTTAGTAGCTGTTCTCCAAGTAGGTCAACGATATTGACAGGTAAGAAAATTCGTTTTGCAAGGAAAGTTTTGCGGTAGCTTGAGATACAATTCATATCGAGAACAATTTCGTGCAGGAGGTCACATGATCTTTGGCCCCGGCTAACGGAACGCAAACAAAATTTAAAGAAGGGACCCTTTTTGTGCCTGGACCGCAGAAACATGTTCATTTTGATATGTTTCTGTTTTCAGTTGTCCACTAGCGATCCTGTTGAAAAAAAAGCATGGGCCGCAATCAAAGCTGCAAACAAAATGCTGATAACATAATGAATGGAATCTGGAACTTAGCTGATTATACGATAATAATGCAATATATTTAAATTACCTGTTGTTTAGTAAGGGTGCATGCACAATATATCTTGTATTAGTTGTGGAAATGCTACAGGGTGTGAAGCACTTGCAGTGAAGTTGCATCTTTTCCAGGGAAAGAAACAATGCCGCTAGTTGCTTTTTGTGGCTACTGCCTCCTATAAGAGATGTAAACTTAATGCGCTAGTGGGTATAAGCCAAAATCACAAAAGGAGAGAACTCAACATCTCACTATCTTTTGAGCATTGCGCGCGATTAAAAACCAAACGTTTTTCCTCGCAGAAATATCTTAATAGGTGATAACGGCCCATTGTGAAACTAAGAACAATTTTTTTCTTTGAAGAGAGAGCATTTTACCGTTTAAATCAGCGAATTGTACAGATCAGACGATGTAATCTCTTAAGTTCTTGCCGACTACAAAAGGTAACAAAAAATCTGGGAATAATTTCACAGTGGCATCCACCGACACTTAATTTAAAACGAAACTTATTCCTGGGAAAAATATATCAATAGATGTGATCTGCACATCATGGAAGCTTATAGGAAATTTTGTTCCTTTCAAACGTTTGAATCAGCATGCAGCCGCTAAATTTTAGTTATTCAACAGAATGATAAAATGTAGAACAGTGGATCGCGGAATATCTGAAGACGCGGAATGACGTAATATCCTAAAACGCAGAATGCCTTTTTGTCTAAAACAAAAGTCTCAAAAAGTTGAATCTCATTAAAAAAGGAACATTATTTATTATCAGCAAGCAAAACAAGGAACTGAATTACATATAAAAGGAAAATTATTTATCATTGGCAAGAAAAATTAAAAGAAGCATAAGTAATCATTATTGGAGCCCAGAGGATTGGGGAACCATTAGGCTTTTGAGCTAGCCCTTTAAATTACAAAATTATCATTATTATTAGTCAATATTATTATCTGTTACTATTTAATTGCTAGTTGAATGTCAATTCAACAATATATTCTTGAATCACCTTCTTCTTGTGGAACAGGTGATACTCATAAATGTGTGGGATGCGGCAGGTTTTTTGTTTTTTTATGTCAAACAAATGTTCTGCCACACTACCTTCCAGTGTCATTATATGACCTCTAGTTCTTTTCAATGCTATAAAAATTGAGCTATATTAGTAGCCACACACAGTCTTTGACTGTCTACTTTTAATTTTTCTCTATAGCTGCTGCACATTTCCTTGTCAATTGCTTATGAGAATTTGGTGTTAGGTCAAAACAACAAATTTTTTTCTGTTAAATTTGAGTGGGATAGTTTCATTCCCTGTCTGCTAGATAATGCAAGGATATTATTGGGAGAAGTTAGATATTAATCGATTCTGTTAGTCAGAGGTTTAATGCTATACAGATCAGGATAACCTCAGGCTGTCTGGGCTGGAAGACTTGTCCTTTACACCAGTATGCATATTCTCCATACAGTTCTTTATACATTTCCTCAGGTGCTGACAAGGAGAATTAGCTCGATGATCCAGAGCTTCAGTATATGTTGATCATTTTTATAATTCTCATTACCTTAGTGTGTGATTCAGGGGTGATATTGTAAGGAGAAATTAGATGCTCGTCTCTCTTGAGGGTTAAAGGGTTAAGAGACACAACTTACCTTACTGTTTTGAAGAAACTAAAAAAATTACTTCTGTTATGGCTCTAGGTCTTCCACAGCACCAGAATGGTATGTACGGCCTCCATCATCAGTACCATCACTTCAACTCATTTGATGAAGTCCAGAGCCTTCCTATGATATTAAAAAAGGGAAATGTACGGACAGGAATCATTGGCAAGAAACATGTGGGACCTGATATGGTGAGCTAGCTGAGATCTCTGATGGTGTGAGGTTGTTTAGTTTCTGAGCTTCTTATCTCTGTAAAATTGTAATCTGGAGATATTTTACTCTATGTAAGGGTTCCCCACTCTCTAATCTCCTCAGATATGTTAGTCAATCAAGTAACAAAATTGTTTCAAAATGGAAACACCATTACAATTCAAAATCAAAAGAGCTTAACCCTTTAACTCCCACGAGTGACCAAGACAGAATCTCTCCTCACAACATCAATACAATATCAAGCAGTGACGAGACTACAGGAAAATATCAACAAGGGGATTATTAGTTAATTCATAATCAAATTCTCAGAACTAATCTCAAAAGAACTGTATGGCAGACAGTAAGGAGAAGTACTAAATAAATGAGATCCTGCTCATTTTGAGTAATTGTTTTATAGGTGTATCCATTTGAATTTGCTTTTGATGAAGAGAACTGCCAGCTGCTTCAATGTGGCCGCAACATCACCCATATGAAGGACCTTGCTCGAAAGTTTTTTGAAGGCTCAAAAAATGATTCACGACCATTCTTTCTGTACATGGGTTTTTTTGATCCCCATCGTTGTGGTGGAAGTAAGTACGGTGAGTACTGCACATTCTATATTGTGAGTCTTAAGTTAAATTTTTGATGGTGAGAACTTGATCTTAAACTTTTTAAAGAGATTAGTGATTAGGGCATGAGATTATTTGGTGCAGATCGGTACTCAATCATATCGGAAGACACTCAAAGATTTCCAAACACTTTTGTAAAAATTTCAGAGAAAGTCTCAAAGAGTTTTGACTCAGCTTCCCTTTTAGTGCTCTTTCTTCTAACGCACATTCCTGACTTCGAGGAAACGTACTTTGTGGTGATCGTTGTCCAGGGCTTTGTGTTTCTCTGAGTGGTTTGGGATTAACATATATTTTTGTAGAAAATGTGTCTGTCAAGGCAGCAATTCAAGGACAATTTTTCACATTTTATAAAAATGCTAGTGGGTACAATAAATAACATGGGCTGGTGTGAAATCATAGTTTTTAATTCACTGACGCAAGAATCATGCCCAAGCCATGTGAGTTGGCATAATTTGGGTTGAGGATGCGACACGTTCTCTGCATACTGCCATGAAACTAAGAGGCATTTTTTTGTGTCCTGTATCTTCCTGAAAAAAATTTGTTGTAGGGCCATTTTGTGAGAAGTTTGGGAACGGCGAGCCTGGAATGGGTGTCATCCCTGACTGGAAGCCTCTCTACTACTCCCCTGAGGAGGTGGTTGTCCCATATTTTATACAAGACACCCGAGCAGCAAGGGAAGAGATTACCAAGCAGTACACCACAATCAGCCGTCTTGATCAGGGCATAGGACTAATCTTAGAGGAACTTCGCCTGGCAGGCTTTGAAGAGAACACTCTCGTCATTTTTAGCTCAGATAATGGGATTCCTTTTCCTGGTGCTAAGACGAACCTGTATCATCCTGGCATGGCAGAGCCCTATCTAGTTTCGTCCCCTTTTGCTCCTGAACGTTGGGGACAGATAAGTGACGCTATGGTGAGCCTCCTGGATATAGTGCCTACGGTGTTGGATTGGTTTGGGATCGAGTACCCCAGTTATAAGATTTTTGGGCCCAATGAGGTGCAGCTAACAGGGAACTCTGTATTGCCGGTGTTAAAAAAAGAACCGACATCCGGATGGGACACAGCTTTTGCCAGTCACAACATGCACGAGGTGACTATGTACTACCCGATGCGAGTTCTTCAAAAGAAGAATCTTAAACTTGTCCATAACCTGGCGTATAAGATGCCATATCCCATCGCCTTGGACATTTTTACATCCGACACGTTCGCGGACCTTTTAAACCGTACCCGACGCGGGGTACCTACGGGATGGTATCGCAGTCTAGATCAGTATTACTACCGGACGCAGTGGGAACTGTATGATTTGAACACTGATCCTAAAGAGCTGAAAAACCTGATCGACAAACCCTCCTATAAGAGTGTGTTTAAAGAGCTACGCCAGGAACTTTTGATCTGGCAGAAAAACACCGGCGATATTTGGATTTGCTCACCCCAGGGAGTCCTGGTGGGGGAGAGTTGCGAGCCTATGGACAATGACGTTTAGGTAGGAGGGTCCATTAGGGGGAGGGGGGGGTCTGAGTATCCCGTATCCTATTAATTTTTGGCTTAAATGTCCCGTATCCCGTTAATTCGTGTGGTTTATATCCCTAAAGTTCAATATCCCGGAATCTCTATTTGAAATATCCCCATCCCCATCCCGTCAATTTTTACCCAAATATTCCGTATCCAATGACTCCTTATAGGGCATGGGTTTTTATATCCCCCTGGTATGCTTTCCTCTTGGAGAGATACAACCCCGCTACCTCCCTTCCCCTCCCCCCTTCCCCCCTTAAAAAAAGAAAGAAAACAAAACAAAATCAATCAGTTGAATCTTCGTTTCATCACAAAACTTTTAATTAATATATCATAAAGTTAGTACCAAAGAATATTATCACAATTTTGCAGTTAAGAGACTGGTGTTCGTGGAATCCCAACAAACGAAATTTTTTCTGAATTTAATTGAATCTGTTTATTGAAAAGATGTTGTTTCATTAATCTAATATATTATCATGTTACAGTAAAATCAATCTTTTATTGTAATACGTATTTTATCAATTTCACAATTTACAGTTGAACTTCAAAATTGATGTATTGACATTCATTTTACCATTGAAAGCCAAACTTCAGTGTACTACAGAAAAGTTTAGAAGAGTGACATATTGTATTCTTACTTTTCATTTAACCGAAGGAAACGAGATTAAAATCTACACGCGGTAACTCGTTCTGATGGGTTACATCCTTTTTGAACGAAGGAAATTGTACTCTAATTAGTGCACTTTTCCATCGTGTATTTTAAATATGTCAAAAATTGCTGTACAGTGATTAAAGCCAAGTCTATCGCTTTGCTGTTTTTTGCAAAAGAAAGGGAGACTAACGGAGATAATTCGAAATTGCGTTGATTTTGCTTTGGAGCGGTTTTCAATGGACTGTCAAAAAATAATTCGGGATTGCTACGTTTTTGCTTTACCTCACACTGTGATTGGTCCAGAAAACTCGTGCCATTCTCTCAGCCAATCAGACGTAAAACGAATACCAATCGTTTGTAGTCTGCCTGTTTTTTCAACGAGTTATCATTAGCTGATGATAATGTTTTTCTTTGATATGACTGGTTTTAGACAGTCAATTGAAAACTGCTGTACCTCGCCACATGATTCAACCTAAGAAAACTCCAGCCACTCTCTAAGAATGTAGAAGGGTGTAGAATGAAAACCAATAAAACTTAGGGAAGTGCAACTGGGTGTCTTCATGCGCTTCAGGCAATTTTGCTTGTTTTCGTTTTGAGCTTAAGGAGGTTCTATGACTATTGTTGTGTTGTTGTTGGTTTCATGAGTTTCGACCGGAATCTACTGTGCGCTAGTTTCTTTGCAATCAATAGTTCCAGACCATGTTAAAAAACACGTAACATGTTTTTATAATCAGTAGAAACAAGTGCAGTGGGTGCAAATGAGACAAAGAGCGCTGTTGGTCGTAGCCGATAATTTGACTTTTCCACCTTGTGCTGCCCACGGAACACAGTGTTTGTACAAACTTACTTGCATATCGAGATCCTCTTTGTAACGGTACTCTCGGTTCCATTCTTCTTGCCCGATAAAGTAAGGCCTGGATGGAGCTTTACCCGGCACGGACATCGATGAGATGACGTCGTGAGGTGACGTGTGAACTGCGTCATGATATGACGTCAGGGTAATGTTGCTGTTAGGCACAACGCGTCTCTCTTCCTCGTCTGTAGAGCCAGTTCTAAAGCGCTTCTTCCTTCTCATGAAGCTTCCACCTTCGAACATGTGTGTGCTCTGTGGATGAAGACACCACAGGTGCCCTTTGCTGGGGTTCGTCGGATCTCTGAACGTCTTCACGAAACAGTCATTAAGGGAGAGGTTGTGGCGGATGGAATTTTTCCATCCTTTGGCAGGGCAATTCTCGCTGTAATACGAAAACTGCTTTTGAATGTGTTCGATGATGCCACTTAACGTTTGACGGCGATTGGGCGATTGTAAGATGGCCATCACGATCAGAGAGATGTACGAATATGGTGGCTTTCCCTTCTTCCTTTCTGCCAATTCCGCCGATTGGTCCAAATTATTTAATTTATCACCAAGCTTCGGTCTTATCTCCTTCAAAGCTTTCCTCGGGATGACGGGCTTTTCGTTAGACTCGTGGTTCATCTTTTGACCGAGATTAGCTCTCCCTATCGCTTTCAACTGAGCACAATGTTTTGAAATGGTTAAATAGAGGATGAATATAAAAGAACGCAGCAATCATTCTCCGTGTTAACCAAGCACCGGTAATCCGCGATTCGTTGCAACCACAATGAACGCTAATTTCAGTTTAATGAAAAAGTCAATAAAGTGTGAAGCCCTAAATTTGCCGCGACAGTTATTTCAAAGCGTTAAGTGAAACCATGAGAAAAAAACGTTCTTACAGCACACTGTCCAATCGCACTGACACAGACAGTAGTTGATTAACAAATTACATTTAGACGAACATTTTAATATTTGTTCTTCACCTGCTATAAATTTCCTAGAGTCATCAGTCACTAATTTCCCTCACAATTTTAGAATAGTTTATCAAGCAATTACTTGCTGTCTTATCAGTATGAAAATTCAAATTCCTACAACTAGAATCAATAGAAATATATGGCAATTAATTGTGGAAATTTTTAGTTTGACTGGCGGGGTTTTGAGTGCAATCGATAAAACGACGCAGAGCAGACTAGAGGATGCTTCAAACTTAAGACAATGAATTTTATTCTTATGGCGAAATCTGTGCTCTTGCCATTGTTTTAAATTCAGGAAACGGAAAAAGGCGCATGATTGCATGGTTATCCAGCAGAGCATTCAAGTTCTGTCAGACTGTTAATTACTTTTATATTTACAATTTAAATGATGCCCCCTTAAGAGAAAGAATCAATCTTTTTGTCTTTTGAAACTTCCTTATACTTAACTTTTGAAGTAACAAATGCGGCGTTTGTAGAAAATTCATGCAAATGTCTCGGCTAATTATGCGAGGTTTTTATTGTTTCTATAGTTCCAAATGAATTAAGTAATTAAGATGTACGAGGGAAATTTATTAAACCATTTTTAACAAAGAATTCCTGGAACTACACCCGAAAAGTACTTTAAATCGAGTTATTACCCAACATAGCTTACTTTATGGCTGTAAAATTCTATTTGTATGTGTTGCAGATGAAATGCTATCTTCGCGATTCGGTATTATTTTGATATATCGACTTGACATATTTATTTAGAAACTCATTGCCTAAATTCAAAGGATATGTTTACACACCTTAAGACAAGCGATTCCTTTTTTGCCGGCTGAAAGGAGATGTAACGCCAGACCAAGATACTTTGCTCTGAATCTATGTCTCGATTATAACACATGTAACTGTGATTTAAACTATTTCTTCAAATTGAAGAATAGCTCTATAAACGTCATGCTCAAGAAAAAAAAAACTTGATTTAACATGTCTACCAGATAAACAAGCGAATTCATTTGTTACCAGATGATTGTAGATACATCGCCCTTGAAGGATGCTTGATTTTACTAACTTCGATTAAAACTTATCTCCTCAAGTTGAAGGATAGCATGATACACCAGATACTTGAAGGTTCATAATTTGATTTTATTTGTCAATCAGATAAAGGCGGATTCATCCCTTTGCGAGAATCTGTTACGAATTTTCGTTCAATATTTTGCTTCAGTCGCCACGCGCGATGTGCATTTTTTCTATGGCTTCCATTCATAGAAATAAAAAGTTGACGTTCATTTGTTGTCAACTGCCAGACTGTTACCCGCGCAGTTGTTTAAAAAACTATTGGTACTTAAAATAATTGGTTTTGATGAAAGCAATTGATGATAAAAGAATCGGCAGTACTTAATAAATCTTGTTTCATTTCCCCGATGATTTCAAAGAAACAGCCGTTATTCAAAGGGAAGACATTTCGCTAAGACTGAATGAATTATAAAACGCTGTTAAATTTGCCCTAACGTAAGAATTTTTCAGTTGCGGTGTGTGCCATAATCCAGTTTCCTTTATATTACCAAAGGAAACCGGAATATTGTATTTTAAACTCAAATCGTAAAAATCTTACAGAGCAGTGCGTTCCTTGCAATGTACGCGTCGCTTTGACTCAATCAACAGTGTTTTGTTATAGCGGTTAACTTTGTAACAAAAGAAACCCTTTTGTTAAACGCAAACATTTTTATTAAAAGTTATAATAATTCTTGGGAAAACGTAAGCTGTGCACGGTGTATCACTTTTGTTATGTATAATTTGAATCAAATGAGAAATTAAAAGCGTAGAACCAGCAACGTTTTTGTTGTGCGGAGTAAATGAAAAATGAATTTTTGTTTTGCAAAAATTTTATTTACGTTACAAGTTACTTTTTAACGTAGTTTACGCTGGTAAGAAAGCTGATTATGGTTTATTACTTATGCAAACAGCTCACTTCTTTAGATATACAAAAGTATAGTGTAAGATAAACAGATGCTTTGGTCTCGAAGGGTTCTTTGTTCTAATCGTTTTAAGGTTCGAAGCGTTATCAATATTTCATCTGTTGCTGATTGTGCTTCTTAGAACTGTAACGTTTTTCATCAGCTATTTTTCAGTCCTTTCTGGAGTTCTTTGCTAGAGTTTTTCGCGTCCAAACGTTCAGACTACAGATGTAATGTTCAACTGATGATTAAAACTGCTCACGCATGTAGCAGCAAATCCGTGAAGGACAAAATATTCCGAGTTATTTTATTAGCTTTTATTTAGAAGTACAGTTGACTTATCTTTGTCGTGGGAAACTAATTGCACAACACTTCTGTTCTTTTGAAAACAATTTTATTTGAGTTTTCTAAACAAATGGAAATTTGTATTTATCTTAACTCAACTCCACACATCAGGGTGCGTTTGGGACTAAGTTTGACCGGCGACTTACTAATCAGATACAACTGAGTTGTCGTGGATAACGAGATAAGAGGCAAAAAAAAAGGATCGGAAACTCAGAGGAACGTTCTCGACCACTGTTCATTAGAAGTAGCTGCAAATAAATATTGCACAATTAGCTGCGATGTATATATGCCTTTAAAGAAAACGTGAATTACCGATCAAAATACGAGGAAATTTTTATCATTATATCTGTTAAGAGACCTCTAAAGAGCGAATTAAACCTCAATGGAAAATAATTTTCGGATCTAGAGATATTTCCGATAAACAACTGTATACAAACTTCAATTTTGAGCTGGTAACACTTTCAAGGATATATTTCCCCCTCAGAATTTCTACGTATTAGAGAATACTTCCTTAAACAGATTAAGTGTTATACTTTGCTCAAGGGTGGATCAATAATTATAATCTGCCTTTTTAAATCAGTATCAAAATGAAAATAGTACATTTTATTTAACTTTGCTTAAATAATAAACGATGATATGTAACTCAAAACTCGCTAACAATTATTGTCAAGAGAGAGACGTGTACACGGGTACATCCAAATGTGATTAATGGAGTACGGAAACTATGGTGATTTTTACGAAAAGTGAGGGCGCTTAAAAGAGGTAGTTCATATTCTATTGCAATCAAGTGTACCCTGCATACACTCCTTGACCTGTTTCTGACCTACGAGGAGACATTTGCTCTCACAATTAAGTATCATCATTTGAAGTTGTTAAAGTCATACAGACAATTTGTTGGGAGACGTTTCGCAAATTTAGTGTCGCTTGAACAAAGCCAGGACTCGCTGTCTTTCTCTCACTAAGACGAATATTTTACTAGGATCTTCAGTTCTCCACCATAAAGGTAGGCAGGCGGTTTTAGCCATTTTGAAGTCTCACAAGTGTGGCAGAAAGGACACCTCTCATTTGATGTTATTATATAGTTTAAGCTACCACAAAATGCAACTCCACTTCAGCGTAATGTTATCTTAGTCTGTTGTTACATGCTTTCCTCTCTTGATTTTCTTAGACCCGGCCATATATTCATGAAAGCCGATATACCCATTCTATTGCAAATAATTTCAAGAATTTAGGGAGAACACGTGCACGTGAGGCAAACGAAACTGTAACAATCGCCAATTAAACTGATATTGCTCTTTCGTTGTGAATTTATTGCTAATCGATCAGGCAGTGTTCCAAGATTTGCATTGTGATCCACGAAAATTCTCAGTAATGACTTAAAGAAAAATTGACGCATTAAGTAATGAGAATTGATATTTTTTATCTCAGATAAAACAGAACGTTGTACACGACACTTCTACGGTTACACATATGTAAGATTTATTTTAACAGGTCTGACCACGTCGTGAACTGTCTTAATTTGTTTCCGTCGAAAACTGTGGGCTGCCTGTTGAAAAGGGTCTTCGCCAAAAATTTATTGCTATGAATGAAAGACGATAAGCTACATAAATATTCTCAGTTGAACCAAACTCTCTCAGTTCGTGGGTAGATATTCGGCAGGGTTGTTTTATTTATCCGAGAGGAACATAACTTTTCCGGAATACCATGATGATACGATCGAATATTCGAGATAGATGCTCATATAAATCAAATCCAAGACTGTTTTTCTGATACTGAGAATGATCCAGAAATTTTGTTTCGTGTAGTTTTTCTATTCCATGTGAGAGCATTTCATGTAATAAATCATTTACCGGCGGCGACAACAAAAGTTCTTAACCTTTCGCGCAAGTTTTGGTCTCTAAACAATTGAGTACAAGGCGTCTGTAAGTGCTTCGACTCCAAGCTTATAATTGCTTTAAGATTCTCCGTGTTCATTGATTTGTTAGTCAGGGTACAATGTACTTCGTGACATCTGATTGTAAAGCTTTTGACACAAAGCGAAATGATATTGGGCCATTTAGCAGTGGAGGAGTGTGACAAAATCTGTACAGTTTTTGTTGTTTTGAAATAAACCAAATTTGAAAGGTTTCTGTCGTTGATGGGTTTCAACTCCAGGAAAATTGTGCCAAAATAATTTTTTCTGAGATTAACTGCTGAGCTTTCGGTGATCTTAAAGTTATTATTAGATTGAAGGAGGAGGAAAGAATAATAGTACTGATGATCTAACTTGGCACAAGAAATACTTTTTGCGCGCGACAACACACTTCTATCACTCAACGAGTGATAATTTTTCAATCCTTTGATCTACTTCATATCACAATGCTGTTTTTCTTACCAAAACGAACAGCGCCCATTCAAAAACATCTTTAAAAGGTAAACACTCCAGCTTAACAAGTAAACCATCTGAAATAATAAGATCGAACAATTCAATTCTTAAACGGTTTCTTTTGTGCGTCTTCCCTGAGGAGAAAAGTTATAAGTAAAGGTTATTTGTTTTGGTAGTTTACGGTTCTTTTTAGCGCCGTTGGGCTTAGACTAAAACAGTTCGTGTGAAAGCGACCAATTGTGTGCAGATGTTCACTGAGCATTTCCCACTACCCCTGCAGTGATTGCGTCGCCAAAAAGTTCTTCTTAAAACCGCCAGATCCTGAAAAGTATATATTTTCTTTTCGTGATGTTTCGACCAATTAACTAGGGCTTTTCACTAAAAAATTCTCTTCTCTAAACGAAGTGTTCAGTCTTCCTTCGAAAATTTCGAAAATCTAACTTGAAAACGGCATCTAAACAGGGAGATAAGAATTGTAAGCCGCGTTCGGCCCCAACTACCTCGAAGGGAGTTTGTTTTGGACTAATGCCCCTAAAACTTAATTAGCAATTTTGCGATTCCTATTTCGCTAATTTTGTGTAATATAAAAAACACAAATGTCGAGTATGAAACGCGTTTCGCACTGATCACTAAATAAGTATTCGTAATTGTCGCTTTGTAAGATTTCAATTTGTTTTTCGGTAGCTTTGAGCAATTGCAACGTGAATTGGCTGCTTTCACAAAACTGATAGCGATAACGCGGAGTGACTAATGACTTTTTTTGTTTACATTTAATGCTCGCCAAATGATAAATGGCTAAATTTTTAGGCTTGGCTAACATCTGTAGCAGCATGAATTATTTCGTATTACAATAAGTTTTCATTACAAAAACTTAGCCACAGAGGAAAAATAACAAATAAATTGAAATGAGAAGGTAATTTGTTTTGGTGCGTGCAATACCGAGAGAATACCTACGTTTTTGAAAACAATAAACGTTCAAACTTCATCTTTTCTTGACTGGTTCAATTTATTTTGAAACCGTTCTTTCGAGGGCTTTAAGTATTGTTTCACAATCACTTTTTTATTTACACAATTCACTAAATTCTGAACGGTTGCACGGTTAAAATTACAGTTTATCTATTTCATTTACTTCAAATAGAAACTGGTTCTTCTGCAACGGTATTCGAAATTAAAAGACTGCTTTCGTTCATTTGGTCAACTCCCACACATCGTAGCTGATTTTATTCTGGAATTTTTTGCTTGATTGCTTTGATAATATAGTGGGTTAGCCTCTCAAGAACAATCTACTTCACCATTCGTTTTCTTTGGGATATTCTACAGCAGTGAAACGTCAAAAATAAAATCTTAAGAAACAAGACGACTGTATCACAGGTTTTTATGATTCAAAAATTTTCCTCAATTATTTCATAAGGAAGTATTGTGATTTTCCTTTGATAAATTCTCGATCATAGTTGTTTCAACAATTTTCCTTTTACATCTCTTAATATAAACTTTCTCCTCAAAACTGATCATTAAACGATCAGAAATGACAGTCATATTTGTAGAATAATAGACATTTCCCTTACCACATCTTAGGAGAGTAACTGAAATTATCCAGAAACACTACAGTGCCGCATAGTTCACTCAATCAGAGAATTGTTCTACCGTTTCCCAGCCATTTGGCTGCAGTATGTACAGTAGGAACTTGGTGATACAATGCAAGGTCTAACAGTGTTGCTGTAACTCGAACGCACGTTAGAACAACACGACAAGGAAGGGCTTACTTTGCTATTCGGCGGTCGGTGTTCTTCCGTCTCCGAGCCGATGATACTCGCGATGGAGAATTTTGCAGGTCTTTGCCTTTCTCTTGACACAGGCGGGTCTGTTGATCTGCCGAGAGCTGGCGGTAAACATGTCAGGTACCTTGGAACTGGGAAATGTGAGTACAGAGGCGGTCGCCAGCTTGAAGAGTCCATGCAATTCCAGTAGTACTGAAACCCAAAGGCGCTGACGGCTCCCTCAGGTGGCCGCGGTCTCTTAAATCTTTTCCTCCTCCTCAGAAAACTGCCGTTATCGAACATTCCCTCGCTGGCAGGATCCAATGTCCAGTAGTTTCCTTTGCCAGGATTTCCCGGTTCGCGCGGCATTTTCATGAAACAATCGTTCAGAGAAAGGTTATGCCTTATGGAATTTTGCCACGAGGGGAACTTTTCGCGGTAATACGGAAAACGGCGCTTGATGAAGTCGCAGATTTCACTTAGGGTGAGTTTTCTTTGCGGTGATTGCAGAATAGCCATTGTGATCAGAGCGATGTAGGAGTAGGGTGGTTTGGACATAGACGATTGTCTTCGGTTTTCACTGGTAGAGCTTTGCTGTCTTAAACTTGAATCCTTTTTTTCTTGACCTTCGTCTTCATCTTCGTCCGGTTCTCTCTCCGTGAGGATTTCATTGTGTTCATCGTCGCTTTTGGCAGTTTTAAAACTTTGATCTGCCAAGATCTCCTCGTCATCGTGTTTAAAATTCTCTTGGAAAGCCATTGAAGTGTTTATTGATGCACGGACGCACGCTTGCACGCACGGCCAAACAGAGTTTGCTGCACGGAGTGAACTGAATCCGTGGAAGGTGGCGAAGATGTGTTTTCAGTCGGCAAAAGTTGTTTGAATAAGTCAACGTACACCGGGACCACCCACCTGTGCTATAACCACTTATAACAACTACCCTCCCTGGGGCTATCGGAGATTTATTCACACATTAGCATCAAAAAGGTTTACTCTCCCATATCCTATCCAATAATTACCTCATTAAGGTGGTGTTCTTTGTAATTAGGCCGTATAAAAACTTTTCCTTTGGTCTGTACACTTAAACAGGAACAAAACGACACTGTTTATTGCACGGATTGTGTAGTGATTGTAAAAAGAAGCTCTGCTGTTTCGCTACGCTGAAAAAATGTGGAATTTAGATCTTCGAAAGTTTATTGTTTTCACCCGAAATACCTCTCCCACGTGTTTAGAATTCTACCCTCAGTGTCAAATTAAGGCAAACAAATTTTATAAGGTGAGCCTAAATCTATTTCAAATTATTCGCAGATGTCTCCCATTTGAGTACAATATCAGATAAGGCTTTGAAAGGTAAGTTAAAAGCCATAACGTCACGTAGAGATGGACGGAAATTAGCTGCGAAACCGTGAAGGCAATTTGAATAGCACAATTAATAAGGGAAAAGATTGTAACCATTTGTTAAACAGCGCTATCAATTCATGTTTGATTTTCATTTTGCTAAGAGCAGTTTGTTTACAATACACTTCTGAGATAAAATGGTTTTATTATGTCTTTCCTAAGGTAAATAAACATCCAAGTCATCTGCATGAAATTATCTCCCAGTGAAAATAGATTTCTAGACGACGAAAAAAACAGATATTTCATGAAATTTTCTTTTCTGAGTTGAACTCGAAGAGAGAGAAAGTTTTCTGTGCAAGTTGGTAACGAAATAAGTGAGTTTTTCACTGCAGGATTATGACCATCTTTGCGGCATATTACAAGCACATCTATCGAAGTTGTGATCGTTTGAGAGAGGGTTTAATCCTAAGTTAACCATTTGCAAACACAAAACACGATAACACCAAACGGCGCCGCGGAAACATCATCTTACGTTTTCACCCCACAAAGATATCGATTAAAACATCTTCTGAATTATAACATGGTTTTGTGTTTTCTTTTCCTCGAGGGCCATCTTTTTTTCTAATTCACCAAAAATAACTATTTATGGAAGGAAACCCTCTTTACTAATCTTTAATGTAAAAAACGAGTCGTTGTAAAACAACTTTTGATTTAACATGGTCAAGGGAATTTTTGCATTTGCGGACCAAGGAATAACAGGTTACACTGAATCAAAAGATAAAAAATTTGGTTGTAAACTACCCGTTCCTTGAATTTTTTCAAGACATTCTAGGCGAGAGTCGTATGAAATGCGATTCAGCAAACGATTGTTTTAACCTGAAATTTATATAGTTCAAAATTTAAGGAAAACGATACGTTAAAAGGGTTTGTGTTAAGCGCAATGATCGTGTCGACAGATTTACAACGTCTTGTTGTTTAGAAATTGACTGAATGTGTCCGCCAAAAAAAAGAGAAAAAGTATAAAGAAGCCTCTCTGTAGAATGGGTATTACCTGAATTTCTCATTTACTTTTAATGCAAACTTCAAGGGTTTCTCGGTCGATCATATAAACACTATGAAATACACCACTTATTCTCCTTCGCAAAAAACGATTATCAATTGCTTTACCATATTTTAAAGAGTATTGTAATTTTCTGTCTTCCTTTTTATTCTTTTCTGAAAATGAGACGGGTATTCAATTTCAGGTAAAAGAAACGGAACTTAATTGATGAATTTAGCTGTTTTGCCTCCACTCTAGTTACCAATATCATTTGGTTAAAATTGAAAACTACCCGTGTTCCGTATCTAATCCTGATATATTGTTTTTCATTCTCAAATTCTGTTGTTTTGGCCTCAAATCCTTCGAGCGTGTTGGCTTATTAAACAAATAAAAACTCTCTATTTGTCCTTGATTACACTAAATGAAAATTAGGACTTGACACCGCTCGCAGTTCAGCGAGAATCGATTTGAAAATTAATTAACTCTTTCTTTTTTTGTTGCAAGTGAAACCAGCCATTGAGCGTGAACAGTTTCGAGTCAATCTCGTGAAATCAATAAACTCTATCTCTGACAGTTTGAACAGTTCATGTTTGCACGGCCACTTCACAATTATTAATTTCTCAAACTCAGTGATTACAGAAGCCATAATTTTTGAATGATTTAATTTCCTTTCATGCTATCCGAAATATACAAACAATTGTCAAACAGGGATGAATATGTGAAAATTGCTAAGAGTAGTTTTTGTATTGATCGAAAACTGAGATAAACCGGATCTTCTACCTTGGTATATGTTTACGATAGATTTGTAAAGAATATGATATAATTTTCTTGCGTTCGATCTTAATCCTTCCTCCAGGCTATGCCTTTGTTCTGGCGCCGTTTCGTTGTTGTTAAATGTTGTAGTCTCTAAGGCAAAGCTAATTCAAGTAAAATTAATATGACGAGTGAGAAATTATCCTCCATAAAAGTCGTAATTTTCTTATATTCTTTGTTGATAAGCCATGTCGACAAAGACCCCAAACACCTGTATCTAATGTATGCTAATCGAAATATGTTTCATTTCCACTTTTCTTCTTTCATTAAAAGTTATCAAGGGCAGAATAAAAAGCTTTAACAATTCATCACTCCCTGTCGTCTTCCGCGAGCTTTGGGGGGAATCTATTATTTTCCTTTCCAACACAGGAAATTACGGGCGATTTGGTTAGCTAAAGAAAACGCGATGCGTAAACTTGATTCAGCAAGATGTGCATCGTAAAATGTCGATTGCGACACATTTTCAATGGCTTTTTGAGTGTTTTTCTGTCAACTGAAAAGACTATTATCGCAGTCTAGATAAGTGACTAAATTTCACGTAATAAAATGATCAAACAGAATAGACACCACACTTCAAGGCTAATTCAGTACTGTTGTATTGTAAATCGCAGAAAAACTAGACGAGTTTAAAAAGCGTCAATGAACATTCAGAGCTTAAAACTAAGAATTGCGCGGAGGTGTTTGGGCTTTTGTGCATACTTCCCTCCAGGTTTATCTTGTTGGGCGATATCGTTTTCGGTGTTTTTCATATACACACGTACTTAAGCAATTAAACTAGCCGGGGAGGAGTTGAGCGAACAATATTCAGCTGGTTTGCTAATTAAGGCCATTCAAGGCTCTAAATGGGGTTTCTAAGTTGAAAAAATGTCTTGATTATAAATCAAGAATCTGTTAATTTGTAAACGCACGTACACGCAATTTGCGAAACAGATTTCTTAGATAATTTGAGTCTTCTCGATCACAGAACAGGGTTTTTCAAATCTGATGAATTCCAATTTGATTTTTCCTCGAAAATTTAATTTTTTTACATTATTATGTCTGAAATGATTGTTTTTACATGAGGATCACGGATTGAAAAATGTAGCGAAACCATTCGTATATCGTGTGTCTTAGTTTAGACGCCTTTCTTCGATAAAAAAATTGAATTTTTTGTCAGAGATATTGTATCTGTTCGAGAGATGAACACAAAAGCACGAAATTTAGTAGAATCGAGTTGATATTGCTTTGAGAGCGTTTTTGTTTTTTATCAGAATCTCTTTTGTGAGATAGAATGTTCGAGTACGCTGTGGGGAATTTTTTACGAAGCCAGCTTTTATAAAAGTCTTTATTGACTTTGTCAATAGCCGGTAAAGAACTAGTATGATATCAACGCCCTCCAGACAATTCGTGATCAAAATCACGATAAGTTTCAGCGTTGTCGAGGTTAAAAAGAGGCATATGAATCAAATGAAAGAAATTCGTGACCAAAGGAGCAGTACACGAAAAATCACGAAAGTTCAGACATGGTCTTCGTCAAACATTATATACCCATAGTAAAATACCTCAGTAACTTTTTAGCGTGGTGTTGCGACCTACATTAGAAACATGAAATTACTTTGATATTTTCTGCTTTTTAATTCAACCATAGTTTTTCCTGATATTCCTACTGAAATACTGAAATGACATTTATTTTCCAAGTATTTATTTTTTTCGGGATCGAATAGGCGAAATATATAGAATTTAGCCTGTTTTCGGTTCTCTTCTTTCGCACAATGTCTTCCGAAAAGTGAATTTAAAGTTCACCCAAACTTCCGTTTGGCTTTGTGGGGCCCTCTGTCTTCCTTTAAAATGATATTGTCTGCTCGTAAAAGTTCCATCTCAAAAGTAAAGAAAGATAGTTTAAAATCATTACCCACGGCAGATGAAAGAAATGAAAAAAATTACAAATCTCCTCCTTCGCTAATCAGTTGGGCATGGCAGTCACGGATGTAGTTTAACTAAAATGTAGCCGGTTTGTATGCGTGATGGAGGGCCGTTTTCGTTTTCAAAGCAGTCGGCTTTTCTTATTTCCTTTTTACTCTGCTGAATGCAGGAAGGAGTTTTCTAAATGCATTTTGTCAGAAGGGAATGGCTATGAAAGGAAACAATACGACTCTTTATTACATTATCAATATCAGAAAGCAACCGCAACGTCATAGTTAATGTCGCTAGTGCGTTTTAAGAGGTATCTAAATGAACGCGTTTAATTGATGTTAGGTCGAATGGAAGGTGACTTCACAACGCCGCGTTATGGCAATTAATGTTTTAATACTCGGCTTAATCACTCTTAGAACCACAAACCAATGCACGTGTGTTGTTTTATATTTGCGCAAAATGTTTATCAGATAAACGGTTGAGGGCGAAAAAAAAATCGCCTTTGATTTATTAACGTGATTGTCATGGTAGACCTCGGCTAATCCAATTTTATGCAGACTGTTTCAGGTTCCGCGTTTTGTGCGTGTCTCAGTGGGTATCTGTGCCTAACCGCATGCTTTGCACATGCTTCGTGTGTATAGTGTCAATCACTGTTATAGGATACCTATCTAAAACACAGCCTTCCGTCATTCGTTGGCTTATTAAACCTGGGGTTGATACCAAAATGATACTGAACCTCACGTATATTAGTATCGTTCGAGTTGTTCTAAAAAACAAGTGCGAATAGTGACGGTGTCGATGTAAAATGTGTTTAGACTGGTCCGCAGTGTATATCAGAGAGGTTTTTAATTTGTAACAGTGGTCAACACTAATCTCCCTGATATTTCCGATGAAACTTGCCCGAGGCAAAGTTCATGTATTTTGTATCACCGCAAGATCTGTTTTGTCCAGTACCGAACGCTCTTGGATTGCTTTTCCATCGTGACACTGGTAAGTGACTTGAGGGAGTCCTGGGGACGAGACAGAATTGCGTATGATCAAGCATGGCATAAAGGCCCCTCGTTATTAGGTCACGTGAGCGAAGTAACTTTAAGATAACTTTCCTGTTTACCCTTTCATTTCTAATATGTGTGTGTTGATTCTCCTTCAACACATGCTTCTATTCTTTTTAATTCTGAGAATTTTGGTCGTTTCAAAACAGTCTCGGTTGATGGTTTTTTTTTTATTCTCTCACTTGTCTTCGTGTACAGTGAAATGGTCTTATCACAGTCCAGAGTTAAAAGATACTGAAGGTGATTTCTCAGTATTACACTGCGCATCGTGTACTGCGCTTAAAAATCACGTAATCAGATGAATAAGTGCCGAGAACACGGTATTTTTTTTTCAATAAATGGATCACAGGTAAAGAAGTAAGACGGTCTTTGGCTCGTGAAGGAGCACGGTGACCCATATTTTTTATTGCATAACTTTTGTGTGCAAATTAACTCCTTTTAAAATGGAGAAATTTTAAAAAAAATGTATTGAAGTGAAAAAACGATATAGCTCAAAGCGTGCACGAAGCCCTTTCCTTTGATGGAGCAAATTATGACCTTGAAGGCAACGACTCACGGAACGTTTTGAGTCAATTTCGTCTGAAATTGCGTCGTTTTTCCACAAATTATATATCAAACTGTTCCATACGCTCGAGAATTTCTACCTATCAAGTTTTTTTTTAAGTATTGCTTTACAAACCCTTGGTTCCAACTACCTCAAAATGTACTGCGAAGCGGTGAAATGACGCGCGTGATTAGCACAGGCTTAAATGGAGTAAGTTTGGTTCATCTTTTTTTTTAAACAAGCACAGTGACCTATCTTTTTTTTAATTTATTGTTCGAAAAGACGTTTGAAAGGAATATTTAGGGAAAGTTTAAAAAGAAATGGGTTTCACTATTTTTTCCGTGATAGGAATCACTTTAAGTTGAACGGTGTGATTTTAAGAGTTCATTTTAACGGAGTGAGACTAAGCTGTCCTCACTAAGAACAAACACAACAAATTCACCCCTGGGAAATTGCCGCATGGATTGTTGTTGCCGAGAGAAAAGAAATTGCCAGTTCGTTGCCGCTCTCAATAAGCAACAAACCTTCCATGGGCATTAAAAGAAACTGGTTTTCAAGACTATTTTTTTCAACAGTTGTGTCAGAAAGCGTTTATGAATTTCTCTTCTTTAACTTTTTTTAAAGTGCAATGGACAATTCATAGGAGTTTTGTTATACTTGGACTGTTGTTGTTGTTGCTGTTGTTGTTATTTTCTTTCAAGAGATGTCTTTTCCAAGTTCAACAGTTCACCCAAACAACCAGAAGTGACCTCCGTGTAACTTCTTCCTATTATATCCAATCAAACATTGTTCTGCACACAGGTAATGAGAATACCTCAACTTATCAGGTAGGAGTTGTTATTTTGATCTGGCACGGAATTTTCACAACGAATTTACAAGGAAATTTGTAGCAACTAAAGGAGAGAATAAATAATCAGATATTTGGAGTTAAAATATTTTAAGATAGATTTTGTGTATTTGTGCTTTATTTACTATAACCATTGTATTCCGTAAAAGCAAATTTAAAATTTCAATTGTTCTCGTAAAGAAAGGCATTGTACTTTTTAGTCAGCTTCAAAGTTTTGATTCTTGAAAGTCTGTACCCAGGCTCTCTCCGAGAAAAAGAGTCTGGTATCCCCGCCACACATTTCTGAAGAAGCGTGGTTGCACATTTCTGTGGTGGTGCAGTTAACACAGCAGTCAAACACTGCGCATGCACGAAAGTTTGAAAACATCAAGTAGGATTTCCGAACGCGTGTCCAGCGTAAAGTGGGGGAAAGAAGATTAAATTCCTTACTATTCCAATACGCAAGACAAATGAAAAAAGTATTTTGGAGAGAAATTAAATCCTGGCCTTATTTTATTGTGAGATATCCCAACTGTTTTCAAAGCAAACGCTTTGTTTCGGTGATAAAGGAAAATGACAGAACCTTTCTTCTACCTTTACTGCACAGTCTACTGTCCGCGACAAACACAGACCGTCACAAATATCTTGTGTGGTTCTGGTTCTTCTGTTTTTCACACATTTGCTTCGGTGTTTACCGGCAACTCCACCATGAACACACCACAGAATAACTTCAGCCAGCACGGCCAAGTTTACGGACGACTTTATTACGCCGCCGTGCAAAGTGTAAAAAAATAGTACGTTGTAGGTAAAGTCTAAAACAACAATCTGTATAAGTTTTGGCCTTAGAAACTACCAAAAACTATGTCCTACGTTGATTCTACTTGCTTCTTATAGCGAATTATCCATCATAGTGCGCATGTGCGATCTTTGACTCCTGTGTCGGTGCAGTTGTACATTTGTTTTATCATTTTGTATTGAAATCGCTGTTCACATGAAGCGAGCAAAATCGATTGTTCTCGAACAAAAGTTGTGGTAGAAGATATTGCCACGGCGACGATTAGATACTTTTATTACCGTACGCGACAGATTGTAGTTCCATTTCAAGTAGCATACGATTGAATTCTCAGGTGATTGGCTCGGATAAGAAAATTATCGATACCTTTAAATTGTTTTATTTGACCTGTTTTGATCCGATTTGGGCTTATCGAGATAATACGACGAAATCTGGGCCGATTATGACCCCTATTTTTAAGAAGCTTGTTAGGATTTACTAGTAAATACTGATTAAGTTTCACTTGAACAAACCTTTTCTCCCAAAGCTCTACAAAAATTATGAACTGACTTAGACGAAATTTATAATTCCTTCGAGTGTAAATATACATTTTCCATCAATCTGCGTAAAGTTAGAATTAATAGCACCAGTGTTAATTTCCCTCAGTTGGGCGAATTAGTGTGATCCTCTAATTTCTTCATACAAAGCAAAAACTTGAATTTTCAGTGTATCAGTCGCTGTATAATAAATTTTCTTCTGTTCCGTCAACTCCGTAATCTCCTGAGAGCATATTTAAGCCCAAAAAATTCTGTAAAAAAGACGATATTATTTAATGATTATTTTATCTTAAAAACCACTTTTCGTGGAGTTATTAGGAAAAAACCCTATAGATTTGTTTATGATAGCAGGTGACTGAATGTCGAACTTTAGTACGCTTGTGAGATAATGAATTGATACTGAGATTTGGTAAACTTGAATGGACACAGCGAACCACACAATTTGTCTGTCTTTAGGAAAACGCCAACTCGTTAGAGACAAAGGTTCTACGTGTAAAACGGAACACAACCGCATAACCTCGAGTCTTGATGAAGCAGTATTAAGGTTATTCGAGTCGATAGAGCATAGTAAACGGAGTAATGGGGGTGAGTTTCTAAGGTACTGTGGTGCTACATCGGTTGGGCGAAGGTTGTATTGCACGATAATTTAGTTGTATCTTGTTAATGTAAATTGTCCACTGTAAAGAGTTTCTAAAGCTGACGTTGCGAGCGTTAGTCCTTCGTCGGAACATGCCGAGAATTTGTAGGTTGTTTCATTTTAGAATTTCAGGAACAGAGCCGATCAACATTTTCCATTTTTCGAAGTATCCACCAACTACCTTATTTTCGCACATCTTCTCATTTTCTAGCTCGCTTTTGCGTTCTTCCATGTAAATAAAGTGACTGAGCTATCAGTCCGAGTCTTACAAGCGGAATGGCATAAAAACAGTTGTGCCTCAATTTAACTTCCTTAGGCAAGACCGCAAGGCAAGCTGGGATAACCCTACAGCTGCGAAGCTCATTTACGACCGACATAAAAATCGGCTTTCCCTCTGATTCAGATCGTCTTTTTCATTCTTTCGAGTTCATCATCTTTTTCCCCGCTACGAAATGTTTCATTATCAGAATCCAGCTCCTCAGATGTTTCGTACTCGTCATCTGATAGAAGTTCGCCATCTGCTGATTCATATGGCAAATTTTCATCCGGCGACACGTGCTCATTAAGAAGTCCCAGGCCCTCGCATTCAACCAAGACAGTCTTCGGTGTCTTTGAACTGATTTTAAACTCCACCTACAGAAAAGAGAACATCGTTTGGTTCTTTTTTGATTCGTTATACGTTGAACACTGACTCAGATCAAACTATCAAACTATCGTCCAGCAAGTATCGAGTTCAGGCGAGAATTTTATTGTGGAACAAATTTTGACTCAGGGTAGTATTCTTGGGCATTAATTTAGCCTAAGAAATTTGCAGTCAAACATTTGGATGAGGGGGAGGTAGAGACAATTGTCACTAAACAAAGCTTTGTGTTGATTTCACAGTTTAGGTCGTTAGGATCAATTTCTTTTAGGGCTTTTTCGAAGGCATGGGTGTTATATTTTCATGTATCTAGGCAGCCTTTGCTTTAATTAATGTCTTTTTCTAGCACAATGAAACGAGTAGCAGATCTCTATTACGGTATTATAGTTGAGGTTAGTGCAAGACAAGAATAATTCACTCGAGAGTTCGACACACTATTAGATTCTATTGGTTTTGGCTCAGTACGTTCTGCGATTGGTCAAAAACACTCCCGCCACCTTAATAATCAATCACCGTCTTAGGTAGGTGCAGTTTCTCGCGCTTCAAGCCAATTACGATTATCTCCTATGGGACTCAATTGGCTCCTTCTTTCCTTCATTCTGATTGGCCACTGGCCAATTTGGTTTCGGTTTCTGGACGATACATCAAAAGGCGCTCTAGACGCATACCACTTAGCACACAAACCTCTGTAAACGTCTCCACAGCCAGCATCGTAGCTTTAGCTCGATTGGTGAGCCGCTGCATCCGTATGGACGACCTTCCGCAGGCCAATGCCATCAGTAAAATAGCCTGAAAACAGAGAGAGACTCACCATGAACACTCTCTTGGTGAAAAGGAAATGACTATTATCAGAAACAAAGTTGCGTGAAAAAAACCAACAACACAAAAATTATTGGAACCTTTGACTCCATATTTGAACAAAAACATATGTTTCTAGCAGAGACGCCTACCTGTTCCAAATAACTTCCATATCTAAGCGTGTATATATCGAGGAAAAGATAAGGTCCTTCTCCTGTTCAGCAGTAAGAGTATGACTTCTTTTCGTCAACGTGAAACTTATATTTTTAGCTCATCAGATACCAAATATATTTTTCTGACATCTTGACGCTCCTCCTAAATTGTGTGTATTTTTGCTGTTTAATATAAACCGTACACAGGATACCCACATTGTGTTATGGTGAAAATAACTTACATGCTCCTGTAACAGCCTATCGATGCACGAACCGCTGTTCACATTATTCACCAGCATCTGAACAGCTTTAGAAACAACCTCCACTGGAGCCATTCCTACCATTACGAAAAACATCAAATTATTACAATTGCAAAAAATAGGACGTACAACATATTATTCATAATACATTATGTGCAAAACATCCGTGGTTACGGAATGAGTGGATACCAAACTAACAACGCTTCACTTTGATGTTAGGAAAACCAACGCATTGAGAGTCGTTACTCCGACATATTCCAGTTTTGACCATCTGATCGTTTGCTATGTAGTCAAAGTCTTAAAAGCGCTTGAGTGATAAAGATTTCTAAACTTTATTGACTATTTACAGTCCGTAAGTCTCATCTTTTAAGTGATTGTTTTCTTCAGGCGGCATGACTCAGGATTTCGGGCGACATGACTAAGCGTTTCGGGCGACATGACTCCGGTTTCAAGTGATATGTCTTCGGGCGAGATGACTTTCGGGCGAATTGAGGCCAGCACGTTACAATTTGCTTGCCTCTATCCATGTTTGTATGAACAAACATCTCATTTACTGTAACAAAACCTTCATGTCCAGTTTGTCGAGGGAAACCTTATGTAATTATGCAAGTTCTTATCTCACATTTGATATCGAATAACTAACCTTTTTCCCATATGGCAGTTCCGGACAGCAAAACGCCAGATGACATTTTTGCAATTAGCCTGGGATAAAGGAAAACACTTGATATGACAATTTTTTTGGTTTAGCAGGTAATAAACGTATCTCACATGTACATGGAACAAGTGCATCTTCATAAATTGATTTTTTAACTTAAGGAAAAAGTGAACTCTGAAAACCAGCACACTTTTTTCGCCATTGTCAGCGAGTATGACAATTACATGTACAATAGTAAAACACTGAGCATAATTATTTTCAGCTGTGCCAGAACTTCCTGACGGTGAAATTTGTCCTAAGTTTCCATATAAAACAAGATGTGTGACAGTAGATCTGACGCACAAAAATTTGTTAGTCGATTCACTTTCGACTTACATCAGCCCCTGCCCTGTCCCTTCACTTCTACAGTCTCTGTCTCGTCTGCTATCGATATCCAGTGGGACTTGTGAGAATTGAGTCTTTAACATCTGATGCGCCTGCTTCGCCATAACCTGAGCAATCTGAAACATTTTTGGCATTTGAAAATTACTATAAGAGCTGATACACAAATGAACGTGTATTGATTTTATCAAGCAGTTAACCCTTTGACTCCCAGGAGTGATTAACATGAACCTTCTTCCTGTGATATCCATACATTATCCAGCAAAGGGCTAATGAGAACACCAAAACTTATCAGGTACAAGTTGTTATCTTGATCTAATACCAAATTCGCCTAACTTATTTGCCAGGAATTGTGTAAAAGCTGGAGGAGAGAATTAACAATCAGATCTTCAGTTAAAGGGTTAAAAAATCATTTTGAAAAAGATTGCCATAGTCTAACTGAGTCTTTCTTCAATGTAACTACAAAATAGATAATTTATTTTCCCTTCAACCCTGTGCTTTTTCTAATGTCATAGTTCCACCCAAATTCCTGTGCACTAACCAGAGCACTATGACACTATAGTTTGCACTCATTCAGAGTAGAGGATTATGTACCACATATGCGTGACACGCGTGACAATGAGATTGTGTTACATCATATCGCCATCTTAGACGCCCATACTGTCATGGGTATGATTGGTTCATTTGTACCACATGATACATAATCTCTCCTCTCTAATACTACTGACTAGGACTGAATTAAAATTTGGAAGTACATGTAAGAGCCAGAATTAGTATAATTATTTATGATCTTGTTAACAACTTGACCATACCCTGACAGGCTTTGCTCCAGCAACAAATGCCCAACCTGTGATTTCCCTCACAGTGCCACTTTCTTTCATTACAACAGGAGTCAGAGAGTGAACTGGGAGACTCTCTACACATATTTTACCCTCCCAGTATGGATGATAACTCCTACAAGGCAAAAACAAACACCTATTGTACACTTTAACCCTTTAATTCCTAAGATCTCATTAGTAATTCTCCTTACTGTCTACCACATAGTTCTTGTGATGTTAGTTTGAAGAATTTGGCATTGGATTAACTAATAATCCCCTTATTAATATTTTTCTTTATTCTCATCACTTGCCTGCTTGATTTTGTAAGGAATAATTCTGTCATGGTCACTCATGGGAGTTAAAGGTTAAGGCCCAGATTAACTGGTTGATAAGCTGCAGTAAAGATGCTAAGGATAAGTTGCAGTGAAAATATTCACCTCTTTGGACATGAAAGATTTTGTGAAAATCTTTTTCACAGTAGCATAATTTTGCCAGTGCCATGCTAGGCACAAAAAAACTTCCATATGTACGTGTACTCTGAGTTTGAGGAAATAATTAAAGCACTTCTACTGTAGATGGCTTTCAAAACATGGATTTTTCAGGGATTTGGAAAAAAACCATGCTCATACAATCAATGTAAATCTAAAATGAGTTTCATGAGTGATCTCTTTTCAAACAAAAACAAACTTGACATTCATGGTAAAATTTCATGCATGTGCTTGAGTCATCTTGTTATGCTCAGTAAGACCTGTTGATGTGCATATGTAGGTACATTGTGGAAAACATGAGCAAAAATCAATCACAATCAAAGGAAATTTAGAATGCACCATATGCAATGCCAGATGTTGGCTCCAAATTTCAAATAGGAAAAGCTGAGAAGCCATATGTAAAAACTACCAAAATATCTTTCCTGATTTTAAACATGTAGTTCAGTTACAACATAGAACAAATGTTATAAAGCTGAACTTTCTATAAATAATAAAAGAGCATTGAAATACCTTTTACGAATGTCAAAGTTAAAGTCAAATCCAAACTTGCCAACCAACGGCTTCATAACCTGAAGAGATAAAATCAAAAACCAAAAATCAAAAATCAAAAATTGATGAACTTGTATAAACCCTTTGACTCCTAAAGTGACTAACATGTAATTTCTCCTAACAGTCTCACCTCTGAATCAAACATTAAGGTTCAGAGAATAAAGGCAATGATCACAAACTAAAGAAGCTCTTGATGGTGAGACAAATTCTCCTTGTCAACACCTTGGGAAATGTATGGAGAACAGTATGGAGAAGATGCATACTGATGTTAGGGTGTAAAGGGTTAGAGAAGTTGTAGTGCACATACACAAGGGTGAAACTGGTGTACCAATATGATTTACAAAATATGGTAAAATACTTCTCCAATAAATCGAAGTGTTCTTAAATCATGGTGATATAAACAAGTGCTGATAAACCTCAAAGCACTTGGTTACATTTTGCTCTGCAGTTTTTTAATTCCCTGTGTTTTCAATACACTCCCAGAAATAAGAGATTAACTTCTGGGAAATTTCTATCTGTCTGAATTTGACTTCTTTGACTAGAAATGATGAAAAACCTGATTTTCTTCACTTAAAAATGGTTACACAGTCAAGTAAATATGGTACATCTACTCACATTTTGGATGTAGTCTGTATTAATGACTGCCTTGTAGGAATGGGTTGAACCTTTTATGTGAAGTCTGTTAAATCTTGTGTATTCAGGAATTGGTAAAAATGGGCAGCATGGAAGGGCTGATGTGACCAACAGGTTTAAGTGACTGAAAAAAAGGAATTAAAAAAGGAATTTAAAAAAGTGATGGTTATAAACATGTACAGTAGCTTTGCTTAAAAAAAAGCCTTTGTAATCAAAGGGAAACTGTGAGATTCAAGGATCTGTCAAAACAAATACAACCAAAGTGGTAAGTATTTTGTTGATAATTATTACAGTAATGTTATAGAATATACAAACAAGAATTTGACCCTTCCTAAAATGAAAACCTTAAAGAAGGGCAGGTACATTGCATATCTCAACTCTTTTTAATGAGAGTACAAACTGTAGGTGGCAAGAAAGTGACTGAAATATTCATGCATGGATCACAGTTATGACAAGGATCTTTGACAAAGAATTGTCCATTTAAGCTTGGCAAATTTCCTGTACAAGCATTTCAATGCATCTAATGTTGAATGACATCCCCCAAGAAGGGCGCATAACATTGTATTGTCAATAACAATCAATTTCCAGTGATTTTTCGACAGAACACCCAAATTGGAGTGGCAAAGTAGTGTGATTACAATAAAGTTCATCTTGCTGCCAAAAACAAGAATAAAAGACAAATCACAAAAAAAGTGTATTTTCTTTCTTTAAATGCAGTTTTGCAAGAGAAATAATCCTAGTTCTTTTATGTTATACAGTGTAAATCCCATGTACTGGACATGTATTTGTGGCCACAACTGTCACTCCCTGACCTTCTTTTTATTTTTTTATAATTTTTTAAATCATATAATGTACAGAAACAAGACAGAAAAACAAACTGCAAATAAACAGAAAAAGGAACTTCATTTGTAGGGTCTAACACTGTTAACACACCCCAGTCGTCCAGCCTCTGCCGAGAAATTCCCTCCAACTAGCTCGCTAGGGACATTAGTAACCATAGACAGTCCTGTATTAGCTGCAAGTGTTCCACTGGAGATTTGCCGCAGCAGCTGTAACACTCTCATGTCATGTGACTGTAGTCCACCATCTGATACTGACACATTCATCAGTCGTACTGGTGTACAGGTTATTGTGCTCAAAGTAGCAATTGTGCTGAGAAACACTTGACTCTGTTATGACAAAAATATTTCATCAACCTTTATTTTCTCCAAGTGATTAAAATGTAACACCTCCAAAATAAGATACCATTTTTCTAAATTCTATTATGTAACACCACCTCAAAATTTCAATAGATTATCCAGTTAACCCTTAAACTCCTGTAAGTGACTAAGACAGAATTTCTCCTTAATATACAATATCATGCAGACAAGTGATGAGAATAAAGAAAAATGTCAATTTCGGGATTACTAATTGATCCGATAACAAATTCTCCAAACTAACATAATGATAATTATTTGGCAGACTGTAAGGAGAATTACTAATGAGATCTGGGGAGTTATAGGTTGAAAAGATGACAAGAGTAAATGTTCAATTGCAGGATGGTTAGTGGACATGTATAGTACTGATCAAAAGTAAGTTGACAGTCCCTCAAAACTCAACTTCGATTCTTGATCGTGGATTCTCTCAAAACAAGGAAACAAAGGAAATTTTGTTCTATTAATTTAACAATTTTCAAACCTCTCAGTTGCGCTGCATTGTTATCACCAGACAAAAAATATCTGGCAGTATACACCAAGAATTTAAGAATTCATTGTTTCTCACATCATACAGGATTCAGTCTCACAGAAAAATATCAGAAAAATACAAGTAGTTTATAAGTGTAAATGTATGTACAGCCAAGGGGTAAAGTAAATATTACAATGAATAAAGTGGTAAGTTTTTAAAGAAACTGTGGCGCTGCCTTGGTGGGAGTGTATAATGTGATAGAATAAATTAGCCACCGCTATAGAGAGTTTCAAAGAGTTTCAGAGCAAATGACGAAGAGCTGATGTTTGAAAGGTTAGCTTTTAAACTCTTAATGATGACCAATTTATGTTATCAACTCAGTTGATGATAATATATTACCCTATTAAATATTACAATGTCCTGCACTAAGTACCTGTTTAATTCCTCGCATATCTATTTCCAACATTTCATCAGTCAGCCGCAAAACCTTCTCTCCACTTTCTTTCTTCTTTGCACCTCTCATAGTGAAGTATGTTCCAATCTCCTTGTCATAATCTCTCCTTGATGTTAAGTTACGTAAAACATTGTAAGCATTTGTGATTTCTGAAACAGGAAGGAAAGAGTGTTAAATGCATATAAATTTATTATTTTAATCAAATATACGAGTGCCAAAATTTGAGAAAGAAATTAGACATTGGTCATACTTTTCCCTAAAAAGAACAACAACAGTTTTCTTGTGCATAATGTGCAACAACATCACAAGCACATGATGCATACTGTCCACTTACACTGGCATGATGTATCAACTGTCCTGTAACACTGTCTAATTACAAGCATGATGCATACTCCATCCTATTAATGCTCAAATTGGGCTGGTGATAATCAATCAGGTTCAAGAATTTTGTTATAGTTCTGATTATCCTTGGAACTATTTTCAACACACATGTTGTTAGTATAGATGGCTGATATTGAAAAGGCAAAAGTGCCTGAAATACTTTGTAACCAGTTAAAAGATTAACTTTCAGACTTAAACTTTAAGATTTAAACTTTCAGGTTAGCCATTGAGTAAGTTACCCTCATTAGGCTTGCACATGTATGAAAAAGTAAAAAGATTTGAAACGATTGTAGGTTTCATGCTTGGATACAACTCTCAGCGAACAACCAGCACGTGGTTTCTGATAGAATACGACTACTTTGATGAGGTGTAATTACAGACTGGCCTCTAAAAACGTTAAGTTTATGCGACAAACAGGGAAACAGGGGAGCTGACATCACCCATTTGTACAGACAATACACTAGGTGCACAACAAACCTTGAAATTTGTTCTCAGCTTTCTCGCTCTTGTTTACGTCTGGGTGATATTTTAAAGACAATTCGTAATAGGCAGCTTTAATCTCATCCTGTGTTGCAGTATGGGGTACATCTAACACATCATACAAAGATTTCCTCTTGTTATAAGTTCGATTGTGAATACATCTCGCCAACGTAATGATTCTGGACTGTCGAAAGAGCGTTAGCAGACGAGGTTGTACATGTCGACTGAACGCTATCCTCATGCTACGTATAGTTTCTGAGCCTAGTTGAACAGTAAGAAGTGTGGAACATCTGAACAACTACAGTTTAAGAAATCAAAGACCAAAGTGTCTTCAATGGTAGTGTGAAGGAATATTGCATTCTAACTCTGCGTGTGTTGTCATCCACCATTTTTGATTAAGTGGTTAGTCTCCAGATCTCCGCCGAGATCGGAGCGCATGCTTGAGATGTCTTTGACGCGATTGTTAAAGCGATTGAACGAAGGCTTAGTTTGTTCACATTTTGAGGTTGTAAACAATGAAGCGTGTAACTTCTCTGTTGTAAACGTACAGTTAATGTACATAGTGCTTCTGACTTAACCTAAAAGACTTCAAAACAAACGCTGAGAGTGTTGACGGCGAGCAAACTGGCAAGCGGAAACACCGACATGGAACTTTTCCCGCCAAATTTCAAGAATTTGCGCGCCAGCCGCGTTGACTTGAGACGCGGTGTCGTCAACTATTGTTTCTCTAAGCAACTGAGTTTAAAACAGTAGGCACTTCAAAACTGAAGAAAACTGAAGGGTGTCCGGAAAGCTAAGACCTAAGACCCTGAAAACCAAGACCCGGAAAACTTAGTTCCGGAAAACTAAGATCCTGGTCTTTTTTTTTTTTTTTAAGGGGAAATCATCAAATTTCAGCTTCTTTACCTTAATTAGAGTTTTCCTCATTACTTCAAGTTGTAAAGTGAATTCCACATCTTAATATACGTGTCTCCTTCCTTTTATTTTCTTCTGAGCCGACATTCTGTTTTCACGGAAACTAAAAACTAGTGAAACGGTAGACCGTGTTGGCGGGTAAACTGAAGCGAGCATAGCCGTTTTCGTTTCTCTTAAGGCTCTGAGGCTAGATTCTAGATTCCAGTCTTCATGTATGCAGTGATAATGTTTCAAAAGAATGTATGAGAGAGTTGTTGCGTTTTTGACTTCCGTTCAAGAATTCTTTGTCGTAAACAGCCAATTAAAAAATTCCAATTAATTAAAAAATCCTATGACCCCAGACCCCTTCGTTTCTTAAACCAAGGTTTTTGCCGGCTAAGAGTAGCAATAAAGGCTATGGGGACAAAAATGGCTACAGGGCAAAGTCAGTTGGATAATTCTTCTATACTAGTTTCCGTACGGTTACTTCCCACCTTTGCGGGGGTTCTTCGGGAAAAAAATTTGTACGCGCGCTAGTTTCACTAAAATCCTAGCAAACTACATATCAGAAGAAAGCTTATTAACTGCAGTTTAGGATAAAAATATAATTTCAGCGACATTTCTTTTAAGGAAGTATTATGAGCCGGTAAAGCGTGAAACGACCGAAGGTTCTTCTTTTGAATTTATCGGGTATCGGATGCCGCAGCACGAGCAAAATGGCTGCACAGTCTTATTCACAAGACATCAATGAACGAAAGTGTGTCGGGCTTTTTCGATATTCTGATTGGTTGCCTAGATACGGCATCTTTAGCTGAAGTAGCTAAAAGTATGCGAGGCGTGTCGCGTAAATGGACGCCACGGGACAAATATTTCAAATATCAAAATTTCCCGACACATTTCCGCTTGTCATTATTCCTTGAATGTTTTGGCGAAATTTGAGGAAAATCAGTCAAATCTATTTACACTATAAATTCGCTCAAAGTGGTTGTATTCCTCCCAAAATCAAATGCGAGATTCTAGCTTATTAGGGCTGGGTCGCATTACAGACGATTTTGCAAAAAATTGTCCACTCTACTTGGGACTAAAATCTGTCAACACACCTGTTTTCTAATGCGATCTCTCATTTGTGATTTTTCAAAAATTTCAATATCGGGAAAAAAACATCGAAGACGCCGGTGTGCTTGGGTGGGGCTGACCAATTTTTCCAAATCTCGAAAAACCAAAGGAGACGGCCGCCAAAGCTGTCAAGAAAATTGAAAAGACTCCCAATTTAAAGGGCAAGGTCACGAAAGTGAGAAAGAGCGCAAAATTTCATCATCCAAAATGACGTTTTCATTCAGGCGAGATTTTCCCTTTCCTTAATACGGCCATCAAATGCTAAGAAGTGAGCAGTATTCCTTCCTTCAGGACCTGGGCAACACACCCCAAATTGGCCTGCTGTGTGCGCCGAACAAAGAAAATCTGAGAGTCACTCGCCTTTCAGCTATAGAAGCTCTTCAGCTAGTGCGAGTGCTTCCAACTAGTCTCCAGAGTCTCCTTGCACATCCTCGAAGTAGCTCTGGTGACTTTTCAGATGTTGTTTCAGCCACTAGAACGGAACCGCAAGGAAAAAATCTTACGAGAAGCGGAGCGAAGAGGTAAAAAGGCTCCTCGTGCGACTGGGCAGAGAATTTCGACTACCTTGAGAGCAAGGATGCTCGCAAACTATGGGAGCGAATAGCTCTCAAGCTGAGCGTTAAATAAGGCACTAAAAAAAACAGTGATAAGTGACAAAAGAAAATGCTACGAGCTCCGTATAATTATGGGCTTCGCTGATCGTGCTGCCAGCTCCGCTATAATAATCCAAACACCTAATAAATTCGTAGATAAACAAGGTAAGAGTGTTATGTTAAATGTTTTACCCTGATTGTAGTAATTTATGCCAGTAGGCGGTGGCGACAAGTAGGCACACTATGTATATTTCATAGCCGTTAGCAAGTAAATTTTGCCGGACTTTGAGTTCGTTTCAAGATAGAACAACACAAATACACAGGTAAAATTTTTATGGTAACTTTATAACCATCCTTTTGTCTTTTAAAAGCTTGAAGCTCAGTAGATACTGTCATATCGGTCATTGTTAAAACTGTCTTTGTTTTGATGTTACTTTTCGACAGAGAAAAAGTATGTCGGACAAAAATATTCACCAAAAAATAAATATTTCTTTGGCAGCTTCAATAATGACAGGGGGTTAAGTTTAGATGATAAAACAAAGGATTATGTTGACAGGAATAACGGAGATCAAGTATATTCTTTACAGAGGTCACACAATTCGGGTAATATTCACAGTGAAAATATGCATATTTGAGTGATCGAACGAAAAAAGTTATTTCTCGAAAACTAAAATATATTTTTACACAAAAAAGAAAATTCACCACAATTATAAGGACATATTGGGCTACAAAATATGAAAGTAGGAGTGAAAACAAATCTTGAACGACTTGCCAAAATTTTTCGATGGATGCTGACATCCTCTCTTAAGAAGCGGCTAGAGCACTCAAAAAAAGGGGAGAAACACGAGACATAGTCGAGTGTTTCTCCCTACATTTCTTTCGTGCTGTAGCCGCTTCCTGCGTGCTTTACAGCAGAGCACAGTCAAGGCTTCTCTATTTTTTAATTGGGAAAACGACAGTTCAGATTTTATTGTACGGACAGAACATACAGTGATTTTTCAAATGGATTTGGTGTATTATGCAATCATCCACTGTAGAGGCAAAGCATATTCTATGATAACATCTAAATACCTTCCTATTTGACGTGTAGTTGACAAGTAAGCTACAACATTGTTGTTATCATTTATATCTACATGCGACTGTGTAACAATCAACTCCCTTAAAAACTAGAAATTAGCAATCATAAAGCTCTATTTCCTCATATATTTCTTCATTTGATCCTCTTTTGTTTCCTTCTTCGGGAACCACGTTGTAATACCCAGCGTTCACGTGGCTCCCTTGTAAGGACTGGTATTCAGGGAGGACTCGTGTTTGTCCTTCGGAAGGCTTGGGGCGGAGCTCCATATATGACCCTGGTTCTGACGCATGCTGCTCAAGTGGAAAGACAGACTGGACAGTATCTCTAATAGTGGCTTTCTTAGCAGTCGCTGGTCTGTTGCTCGCCTGAGCTCTTCTAAGCCGCCATATCAATACACCAATCAAAAGAAGCATCAGGAAAAGGACCCACGACCATATGATGTCACTAACCCGAAAGATGCTCTGTACATCTGTCCAAAAAGTAGAGAAAAATGTATAGATAAATAGAGGTACACTGTGTAGAAACAAACTCCTCAAAATCACACTGAAAAAATTATGAAACATTAAAAAAAGAAATTAAACCCTTCTTCTTTAAAAAATAAGTTAAAACAAAATTCAAGAGGGTAAAAAAGGCAATTCTAAAGTTATAAGTGGCATAGAGGTTGGCATTATTTGATCCTAACGTTCTAATCTAAATTAGTTGTAAATGATAACCAGTCTTGTTTGTTTATTTTGTTGTTTATTTGTTTATTTTTTTGATTATGATCATCTTGCTAAATAGGAGTCATGGCGAAATTATAAGAGTTTGTATGGGAATATTTGCGACCAATGTTAGGAATATATAGTACCATCAAATTCTCAATAAAAATACCTCACCTTACTTCCACTGTGCATCGTTTGTTATCTAACTGCTTAATATGTCAAAAAGAACCAACATGGCTAGTTATCCATTTCTGGGTTTATCACGTACATAAGAGAGGCCCAAGATGCACACTCCATTTCCGAACGCCCCATCCGAGAGGGGAAAAATCCAAGCTCAAAATGACCGGGCGGCCACAAATCCATCGCAGAATCCAAGCACATATGCTGTAGTTTCATTTTAATTTACTCCAAACTCAATCTTCCCCGTGAAACCGACGATAAACCGCAGTTTGCTTCGAAAATTTCCAGTTTAAACGTTTCTAACGCCTTCCTTAAAAACTAGAAATTAGCAATTAAAAAGCACTACTTCTTCATATATTTCTTCATTTGATCCCCTTTTGTTCCCTTCTTCAAAAACCACGTTGTAATACCCAGCTTTCAGTCACCCTGATATACAACTGTTGAAAACTGGCTTGGTAACCCCCCTCCTTTACAAACTGAGCCTCGGCGGGGACCACACCGTCACTTATCAGCAACAAATTGTTTAAGAACCACGGGTGCCAAGTGACGGTGTGGTTCCCGGCAAGGCACAGTTTGCAAATAAGGTGGGGTTAACAAGCTAGTTTTCAAAGGTCGTGTATCATGGTGAATGTGAACGCGGGCCATAAGAAACGTCTAAACCGGAAATTTTTGAAGCAAACTGCGGCTTAGCGTCGGTGTCACAGGGAAGATTTAATTTGTTGTGAACTGAAATGAAACTAAAGTATGTGTGCTTGGATTTTGCGATAGATTTGTGGCCGCCCGGTCATTTTGAGCTTGGATTTTTCGCTTCTCGGATCGAGCGTTCGGAAATGGAGTGTGCATCTTGGGCCTCTCTTATGTAGGTAATAAACCAAGAGATGGATAACTAGCTATATTGGGTTCTTTTTGACATAGTAAGCAGTTAGATAACAAGCGATGCACTGTGGAAGTAAGGTGAGGTATTTTTATTGAGAATTTGATTGTAATTTATATTCCTAACATTGGTCGTAAATATTCCCATACAAACTCTTATAATTTCGTCATGACTCTTATTCGCAAGATGATCATCTCACGGCTGGAGCTTGGGCCGCCTGTGGACGTAGTAAAGTATCCATAAACACTACGTACCGAAATCATCAGATAGAACTGTAAAGGATCAAATGTTTCTTGGAAGTTCAGAGCGTTTAACATTGACAACACTTACTATTTTCTTCCTCTCTGCTTTCTGACAAAGTTATTTCGTAAGTTGTAGATCCAAATGAGTTTGTGGCGTGACACTCATAATCTCCAAAATCTTGATCATCAAGAGGAGTGATAATAACACTGTTGTTCATGACCTTAACGTTATGGCCATCTAGAGCTTGGCCATTCCTTGTCCAAGAATAATTAAATGAAATGTCACTAGTTGCGTGGCATAGCAAAGAACATGGAGTTTCCTTTGCACATAGAACTGACCGAGGGGAAACGTCTTTCATGATGCTGGGCGGCACTGAGTTTAAAAAGAGGAAAGAAGATAAGATTCAACATCTTTAATAGAGCCAACGAATAAAACTAGGTGACGTTGACAGGACAACGTCTGATACAAAACCTCTAACACTTTCCGAAAGCTGATTGGCACAGTCTCCACCCATAATTTGAAAGGTCATGGGGTCCTGGGTTCGAATATATGACATCAACCGTTTTTAGCTTTTGCTCGCATAAAGGAAAAATTATATTTTTTGGCCAGCCATACCACAGTTGATGATACTTACCCGCGATGACCACTGCTGTAGTTGTTCGGCGTTGCCCAAAAATGTTTGACGCTCTGCATTCATAAATGCCTCCGTCACTAGGTGCGACCTCTTGAATGACAAGAATGTGGCCATCGTTTCTGAATTGAGCCCGTGGTATACTGGTATTTCCATCTTTACTCCATGTAATAGAAGGCTTAGGATCTCCAGTAGCCTCACATGTTAATACTACCACATCGCCAACTTGAAAAATGGTTTTTTCTGGTAGCTCTTTAACGGCGGGCTTACCTGGTAGAATTTCACTGAGTTAGCAGTTTTACACAACAATAACAAAACGGAAGTGTCATTTTTCTGAGAGAGAAAAATAAATCACACGGGATCCACCTTTTAAAGGGCTTACCTAATAAGAGTCTTAATGAATTTGAATGTGTGAGCCAAAGAAACAGCACGTCTTTCAGAGAAAATAAAGAAACTAGTACTCCGCGATTTATTGTCTAAAGGGTTGTTGAAGTAGCTGTTCATTGACATAAGTAATAAATAACTTATTTGTTCAGGTTGGTTGAGAACTTGTTGTTTTAGTGACAAACGAATTCCATGAACTTTACCTTTGGTTTCAATCGTTACGAAGTTACTAGAAAAGTACATCATCTGCAATTAAAAAAGCAGGAAGAAAGTAATCATTTATAAAACTCCAGGGTACATGAATCCATGGTTTATTTTTTTTTATACTCAAAGTATCTCTACTTGTTTCCCATTGTACAATTGTAATCAAAAGCTTCATAAGAATACATTTGACCGACCTATTGACTGACTGATTGGCCGAACGAAAGAGCGAACGCCGTGAGCGACTAACTGAAAACGTCATCGATTTTCTTAACAAATGAGACCCAGAGAATGAAGGGTTAGCCTTTGCATCCCCTCGCCGTAAGCTACATCTTTTGCAACGTATACCTCAGCCAGAAATTTTGATGGCACGGAGCTTGCTGAGCGATCGTTGAATGTAATGTGAGTGAAACAAGATTGAATTTTGTCCCAGAAGTTTGCATTTTTAAAAGAGGACGTTTGTCACTTTACCTTCTCTATAAATGCTCTGAGAAACACTCTGTAGTTGGTATTTGGCTGGAGTGGTTTGTTAAGAAAGACCTGCCCATCGCTGCTTTTTCTATTTCTTGTTTTACTGCTTGAATGTCCTCCATCTCCGACAACAAATTCTCGGAACGCATCAAAGTTCTGCCCTATAAACTGAAAAGTGACATACGCTGCAGGAACCAGAGATTTGTGGGCTTCTTCATACGTCATTAAATCCTTTGGTGTAAAACTCTCAGGTGAGTTGACCACACCAGTATAGTCCAAGCTGTATCTTATAACAATGACTTGAAAGAACCTGTGAAATATGATGTTCATTAATTCAACAAAAAGCTTCAAAGATTGGCAAATTCTTCACTTAAAAACGAAAAGAAAAAGGTTAAATAAAGGCTCATACTTTGCATTCCCTGGAAAGCGTGGTAATGTTATGTTTGCTGTTATGCCTTCCCCACTTGGAATCTGAGAGAAGGAAGGTGGAGATGGTGTTTCTTTTGACCACGTGTGGGATAATTTCAAACCTGTACAAGCAAAAGTAAGGACCAAACTTACACCCACATTGAAAATAAAAATTCAGTATCTTAGTAATCTGGCTACGCTTTCTCATTGGGAAGTAGGTAATGAAAATGTTGCACACTTTGCCGTGTTTGTTAAGGTCCGCATTGTTTGTTAAAGTTTAGGATAAGGACAAGGTACGGGACACGAAAAAAATACATAACTTGATAAAAGCTTTGAAGTATAAAGCCGATGCAACAAATTATGAGTTTCACCTTTCCAACCTACTTTTTGTTTGCACTACTATAGCTTTGCTATAGGGTCCAGGCCCTGCCACAGTGTAACCTCTAACAGACACTTCATACTTTGCACACATCCAGAAGCCAGTGAGTAATACACTTGATTTGGTTGTGTTCATCGCATGAAAGGTAAAGTCAACCCTCAAACAGCTCTCCTTTAACTCGAGACGGACTTCATAAAGTTTAATGACGCCATTTGCCGCCTCTTTAGGAAGTTCTGCCCAAGTGATTTTGTTTGTCGTAGAGTTCACTTCACTAGAAGAAATATTTTCTGCTCCGCGACTTGGTTCTATTCGAGGAAAACAAAAAATAATAGTTTCACGTTTAGTTATCAGTGAGTACAAAACGCTCCATCATAGAATGCTATTTCAAAATTAAATTATCTTTTGCAACTGATTCAAGGTGTATCAAACCCCATTACGCGGCAGAGAACAGAAAAGAGGGAGCAGAAATTTGAGAATTTGGTTTTTTTCGCTCACATTACAGCCTTATCTTTGACTTCGCATTATTGTTTTCAAGAACAGACAGCTAAACAAAGGAAATTAACAATATGTCATGCATGACAAGGAGAAATTAGGACATGACCGTTTCTGATTTAAAGGAATCGACAAAATAGACTTTACATAAATGTATGCATCGTTGCAGGTGTAGAACACACCCTTTAAGTTGGCATCATAATAAATACTTGCATCATTCCCACTCCTGCACATTCTTTGTCTTTACCGGCACAATTTTGTTTATCAGCAAAATTCTACAGCCTCAAACCAAAACAGAAAAAAAGTTTCCTGACAATGAAATTGCGCTTCCTTCGTCTAATCATCATATCTTTTGAACAACTTGCCTTGTTCACCTGTTCTTATTTTTAAAGTACTGATTGTAGTGACGTAATGGAAGAGTGATTATTTAACGCTGTCACAAGTGGAAACTCAGTCATATCCGTTTTTTTAATCCAATATGTAAAAAAACTGCAAATTGACCTTTTTATTCTTTTTTTATTTTTGTTTTCAATATTTCTAGTTATTTCTCTCTGGCTCAAGGAAACACGTTACTTACGTGTATATACACAATTAATCAATCTCAAAGTTAGACTTAAAAGCTGTGGTCACAGTATTTAGCTGTGCGGACACTGCTCTCTTTTTTACTGTATAGTGAGAGTAGCTTATACGTTATATGCCACTGTATAAAGTACTGCTTTTGTTTCCGAGTTTTTATCTTCGTCTCCCGATCCTTTCTTTTTTCATGATGATCTGCGCCCACGTTGACACAACTCATTTCAAGAAAGCACGAAACACTAGAAAATGCCTTTATCTTATTCTATTGCGCATTTAATGATTCATTGAGTAAGAAATGCTTACATATTCACCGGAAAAAACGCGGTCCTTCTCCTCTATGGTGTGTACGGGGCAGTAACAAAAAGAGCAACAATGAAGATAAAAGCACATATGCCGCCATAAAACTAACTGTCTTTCAATGCCTCCACAACCTGGGCAACACTTGCTGGTCCATTTCCAAAAATAGGATATGCTAACACTCTACTCCTGTTGTTTTTAAAGAAAATGTAGCCTCCGGTGGCCCACCGAGTTTTAAAGGTAACATCAAGATGTTAAAAAGTACATATAAATTTTATCAACGCTCATAAAGTTTACTTAGTCAATCTTGCACGTCATCCTATTTTCACGAAGGCTTTTATCACCAAAAGTTACACTGTCACAAAATTGGTGAACGAGAACTTGGCAAAAGAAAACTTCCACTCTTTAAAAATCCTTTAACGGTTATCTACTGTCATGAGGACATATCCCTTTTCCTATTTCTTTTGCAATACCATCAAAACCAATAAAAATACCCCGCAAACTATAGAACACCCAGTATCACGAAGTACTGTTTATGTGTCCATAGCAAAAAAACTGCTTTGATAAGACACCAATCTTTTATAAGAAAATGGACAGTGCTGCCGATGTGATATCATTAAAGTCACCAACAAACACAATAAAAGTAACACTTTTGTTGTGTTTGTTTTATTTTTGAATAACAGTCCAAATGCTGTCATAGAACTTACTGCCTTCTAGTGTCTCCACAACCTGGCCAACACTTGCTGGTCCATTTCCAAACACTGTAAATGCTAACACCTCAATGCTGTAGTTTGTAAACTCATTCAGATTATCTAAAGTCACTGTTTGTCTTTTACTCTGTTGCTCTTTAGTGATATTGAGGAACTCGGTGACCATCTGAACATTTGGTAAGGCATGATAATTCACTCTATATCCTCTGATAATTCCATTTCGATCTTCAGCAACCACTGGATCCCATAAGACGGAGATACTTGTAGAAGATGTGGCACTAACTGTAAGAGCTTGCGGTGCACCACTGGGTTCTTGAGGTGAAATCATGAAATTTAAATGTGCATCATAGATTAAACATATCAGCAACATTTTGTAAGTCTACACTTTCACTCTTTCGTATTATTGCAATTTCAGGAATTTATAAATAACTTTTAAATGACCACGTTTACAAGTTTCAAAGGAGCTGTGAAAAAGCATATCCCAAACGAACGCGTCCGCATTGAAAAAAAAAAAAAAAAAAAAGATAAAGCGATAAGTAAAAAAGTCAACAAGGAAGCAAAACCCTGTGAACAAACGAGTATGAAAAGAGTATTGCCTACTACTTTCTGGTATACAAAGATTTTGCATCAAAGAAAGAGATTCAGAAGTAAGCAACAACAAAATCAACAAAAATCCGGAACAGATCAAAACAATAAAAAGAGGATAAGAAAATATATTTGGAAGATGTAACCTTCGGTGGGCCACCGAATTTAGGAGGTAAAATCATGATGCTAAGAAGTGCATCTGAGTCTCAGCAACGTTCATAAAATTGACCTCGTTAATCTTGCACGTCATCCTATTTTCACGGAGGCTTGTATAACCAAAGTTTAACTGTCGCAAAATCTGTGAACGACCACTTAGCAAAAGAAAACTACCGCTGCTTAAAAAATCCTCTTCAAGTTGCCTACTGTTAGGAGGACATATGCCTCTTGCTAGCTGTTACATTAAGACTTTGCAAAAGAATATAAGATAATCAAAACTAGAAAAATAAAAATAAAACCAGTTAAATATAAAACACTCAGAATCACAAAGTACTGTTTCTGCGTTCGGGGAAAAACAAAAAACGATTTCTAATAAAAATATATCTATTATAGGAAAACTGACAATGCAGCCAATAAAATGTAACAAAAAGCAACAATAAACAAACAAAAGTTACAATAATAGCGCAGATGCCGGCATAAAACTTACTGTCTTCCAGTGTCTCCACAAGCTGGCCAGCACTTGCTGGTCCATTTCCAAACACTGTAAATGCTAACACCTCAATGCTGTAGTTTGTAAACTCATTCAGATTATCTAAAGTCACTGTTTGTCTTTTATTCTGTTGCTCTTTAGTGATATTGAGGAACTCGGTGGCCATCTGAACATTTGGTAAGGCATTATAATTCACTTTATATCCTTTGATGATTCCATTTCGATCTCCAGCAACGACAGGATCCCACGAGACGGAGATACTTGCAGAAGATGTGGCACTAACTGTAAGAGCTTGTGGTGCACCGCTCGGTTCTAGAGGCAAAATCGTAAAGTTAAAGGGCACATCTTAGATTAAACATATCGATAACACATTTTTAGTCAACATTTTCAATTTACATGTAACTGCAACTTAAGGGATTTAAAAATGACGATCTATTAATAATGATCTATAATAAGAAAACTGAAAATGCTGCCGATAAAATGTAGTGAAAAGCAACAATAAACACAATAAAAGTTACAATAACAGTGCAGATGCCGGCATAAAACTTACTGTCTTCCAGTGTCTCCACAAGCTGGCCAGCACTTGCTGGTCCATCTCCAAACAGTGTAAATGCTAACACCTCAATGCTGTAGTTTGTAAACTCATCCAGATTATCTAAAGTCACTGTTTGTCTTTTATCCTGTTGCTCTTTAGTAATATTGAGGAACTCGGTGACCATCTGACCATTTGGTAAGGCATTATAAATCACTTTATATCCTTTAATGATTCCATTTCGATCTCCAACAACGACAGGATCCCACGAGACGGAGATACTTGCAGAAGATGTGGCACTAACTGTAAGAGCTTGTGGTGCACCGCTCGGTTCTAGAGGCAAAATCGTAAAGTTAAAGGGCACATCTTAGATTAAACATATCGACAACATATTTTAAGTCAACATTTTCAATTTACATGTAGCTGCAACTGGTGATATGTGATATGATCATATATTTGTCACGAACTGCGTTCGGGGAAAAACAAAGAAAATTGAAAATGCTGCCGATAAAATGTAGTGAAAAGCAACAATAAACACAATAAAAGTTACAATAACAGTGCAGATGCCGGCATAAAACTTACTGTCTTCCAGTGTCTCCACAAACTGGCCAGCACTTGCTGGTCCATCTCCAAACAGTGTAAATGCTAACACCTCAATGCTGTAGTTTGTAAATTCATTCAGATTATCTAAAGTCACTGTTTGTCTTTTATTCTGTTGCTCTTTAGTAATATTGAGGAACTCGGTGACCATCTGACCATTTGGTAAGGCATTATAATTCACTTTATATCCTTTGATGATTCCATTTCGATCTTCAGCAACGACAGGATCCCATGAGACGGAGATACTTGTAGAAGATGCAGCACTAACTGTAAGAGCTTGTGGTGCACCACTGGGTTCTAAAGGTAAAATCATGACATTAAAATGTGTATCTTAGATTAAACATATCAGCAATATTTTTTAAGTCTTTGCTTTCACTCTTTCATGTTATTGCAATTTTAAGGATTAAAATGACGTGAAGGACCAGGTTTACAAGTTTCGAAGAAGCAGTGACCTAGCATGAAGTAAAAAGCAAACAAACAAACAAAAGCATATTAAGAAAACAAGTATAGACGAGTTATTGCCTGCTGCTTTCTGATACATTGCATGACAATTAAGAGGCTCATAAGTAAGCAACAACAAATATCCGTAGTAGATTAAAACAATTAAAAGAAGAGATATTAAAAAGATGCAGCATTCGATTGTCACCGAGTTTAGATTTAAAATCAGTTGTAAGAAGTAAAGAAGTACATCAGAATTTTAGCAATCTTCATCAAGTTAACTTCGTTAATCTTGCACGTTATCCTATTTTCAAGGAGGATTGTATCAGCAAAAGTCAAACTGCTGCAAAATCTGTAAGCGAAATCTTGGCAAAAGACAACGTCTGCTGCTTAATAAAACCTTTGCAAGAAGCCTACTTTCAGGAGGACATATGCCTCTTGCTATCTGTTACATTGAAATTTTGCAAGAAATAAAAGAATATTGAAACCAATTTTGAAAAAAACACAAATTATGAAACACTCAGTATCAGAAAGTGCGATTTATATGTCCATGGGACAAACAAAAACGCATTTTTAAAAGGAAACAATCTTTTATAAGGAAATAGACATTGCTGTCGATGTAATGTGATTAAAGGCAGCAATACAAACAATAAAATTAACAATAACAGCCGCATTGCTAGCATAAAACTTACTGTCTTCTAGTGTCTTCACAGCCTGGCCAACACTTGCTGGTCCATTTCCAAACACAGTAAATGCTAACAGCCTAATGCTGTAGTTTGTAAACTCATTCAGATTATCTAAAATTAGTGTTTGTCTATAATTCTGTTCCTCATTAGTGATATTGAGAAACTTGGCATCGATGTAACCATTTGGTAAGGCTTGATAATTTACGATGTATCCTTTGATAATTCCATTTCGATCATCAGCAGTGACAGGATCCCATGAAACAGAGATACTTGTAGAAGATGTAGCACTGACTGTAACAGCTTGTGGTATATTACTGGGTTCTAAAGGCAAAATCATGAAACTACAATGTTCACCTAAGATTAAATATATCGGCGACATTTTTTAAGTCTAAACTTTTACTTTTTCTTCTTATTGCAATTTCAGGAATTTAAAAATGACTTTTGAAGGACATGTTTACAATTTTCGAATCCGCTTCGAAAGCTTATCAGAAAAAAAGAAGATATTTTGAAAAGACTAAAGGGCCACTGGATTTTAGAGCTAAAATCGTAATCTTAAAAAGTACATCTAAATCTTAGCAACGTTCATAGAGTTTATTTCGTCAATTTTGTACGTCAACATATTTTCAAGGGGGATTGTATGACCAAAAGTTGAATTGTTCCATATGCCGTGAACGAACTTCCGCTGCTTAAAAGGCCCCTGAAGGTAACCTAGTGTCAACAGGAAATATGCCTTTTGCAATCTGTTACATGAAGACTTTGCAAGAAATGTAAGAAAATCAAGACTATAATATAATATCGGAAAAATATACTGAAAACATTCAGTATCAAAAAGTAACGTTTCTGCGTCAAATATGATGTGATTTAATGCATAAAAAAAACATTTAAAGTAACAATAACAGCGAGGATGCTGGCATGAAACTTACTCTCTTCCAGTGTCTCTACAACCTGGCCAACACTTGCTGGTCCATTTCCAAACACTGTAAATGCTAAAACCTCAATGCTGTAGTTTGTAAACTCATTCAGATTATCTAAAGTCACTGTTTGTCTTTTATTCTGTTGCTCTTTAGTAATATTGAGGAACTGGGTGACCATCTGAACATTTGGTAAGGCATTATAATTCACTTTATATCCCTTGATGATTCCATTTCGATCTCCAGCAACGACAGGATCCCACGAGACGGAGATACTTGTAGAAGATGTGGCACTAACTGTAAGAGCTTGTGGTGCACCGCTCGGTTCTAGAGGCAAAATCGTAAAGTTGAAGGGTACATCTTAGATTAAACATATCGATAACATATTTTTAGTCAATATTTTCAATTTACATGTAACTGCAACTTAAGGGATTTAAAAATGACGATCTATTAATTATGATCTATAATAAGAAAACTGAAAATGCTGCCGATAAAATGCAGTGAAAAGCAACAATAAACAAAATAAAAGTTACAATAACAGTGCAGATGCCGGCATAAAACTCACTGTCTTCCAGTGTCTCCACAACCTGGTCAGCACTTGCTGGTCCATTTCCAAACACTGTAAATGCTAACACCTCAATGCTGTAGTTTGTAAACTCATCCAGATTATCTAAGGTCACTGTTTGTCTTTTATTCTGTTGCTCTTTAGTGATATTGAGGAACTCGGTGACCATCTGAAGATTTGGTAAGTCATTATAATTCACTTTATATCCTTTGATGATTCCATTTCGATCTGCAACAAAGACAGGATCCCACGAGACGGAGATACTTGTAGAAGATGTGGCACTAACTGTAAGAGCTTGTGGTGCATCACTCGGTTCTAGAGGCAAAATCGTAAAGTTAAAGGTACATCTTAGATTAAACATATCGATAACATATTTTTAGTCAATATTTTCGCTCTTACATGTAACTGCAACTTAAGGGATTTAAATATGACGATCTATTAATTATGATCTATAATAAGAAAACTGAAAATGTTGCCGATAAAATATAGTAAAAAGCAACAATAAACACAATAAAAGTTACAATAACAGCGCAGATGCCGGCATAAAACTCACTGTCTTCCAGTGTCTCCACAACCTGGCCAGCACTTACTGGTCCATTTCCAAACACTGTAAATGCTAACACCTCAATGCTGTAGTTTGTAAACTCATCCAGATTATCTAAAGTCACTGTTTGTCTTTTATTCTGTTGCTCTTTAGTGATATTGAGGAACTTGTTGACCATCTGAAAATTTGGTAAGTCATTATAATTCACTTTATATCCCTTGATGATTCCATTTCGATCTTCAGCAACCACAGGATCCCACGAGACGGAGATACTTCTCGAAGATGTAACACTAACTGTAAGAGCTTGTGGTGCACTACTCGGTTCTAGAGGCAAAATCTTAAAGTTAAAGGGTACATCTTAGATTAAACATATCAGCAACATATTTTAAGTCAACACTTTCGCTCTTACATGTAACTGCAACTTAAGTGATTTAAATATGACGATCTGTTAATAATGATCTATTGTAAGAAAACTGAAAATGATGCCGATAAAACGGAATAAAAAGCAACAGTAAACACAATAAAAGTTACAATAACAGCGCAGATGCCGGCATAAAACTTACTGTCTTCCAGTGTCTCCACAACTTGGCCAGCACTTGCTGGTCCATTTCCAAACACTGTAAATGCTAACACCTCAATGCTGTAATTTGTAAACTCATTCAGATTATCTAAAGTCATTGTTTGTCTTTTATTCTGTTGCTCTTTAGTAATATTGAGGAACTCGGTGACCATCTGAAAATTTGGTAAGTCATTATAATTCACTTTATATCCCTTGATGATTCCATTTCGATCTTCAGCAACCACAGGATCCCATGAGACGGAGATACTTGTAGAAGATGTGGCACTAACTGTAAGAGCTTGTGGTGCACCACTCGGTTCTAGAGGCAAAATAGTAAAGTTAAAGGGCACATCTTAGATTAAACATATCGACAACATATTTTAAGTCAACATTTTCAATTTACATGTAACTGCAACTGGTGATATGTGATATGATCATATATTTGTCACGAACACTTTTTGGTTGTATTCATTCGAATCCAACAATTTGGAGGAAGACGTTACTGCCAAAATATCCAAAAGACTTTTGACAGTCACTTAAACACTTCCAATTTCAGTTTCTCATCAGAGTATCATTTGGGAGTCAGAAGCAGCTACACTGTGACTTTTGCAAGTTTATCACTTTGTATTACATTGTCTTTGGAGCAACACAATAGAGGAAAACTAAGTTTAACTTACTGTCCTCCAATGTTTGCACAAGTTGGGCAATACTTAATGGTCCATCTCCTACTACAGTGAACGCTAACACACTGATGCTGTAGTTTGCAAACTCATTCAAAGTCTTTAAAATCTTTGTTCCTCCTTCACCCTGTTGTTCACTGCTGATATTGAAAAATTCAGTAACGATGTTACCATTTGGGAAGGCTTGATAATTTACTTTATATCCTTGAATGATTCCATTTCGACCATTAGCAGGGACAGGACCCCAGGATACATTGATACTTGTAGATGTTACCTCGCTTATTGTGACTAGTTGTGGTGCCTCACTAGGCTCTTAAAGCAAAAGAAAACTTTCATAAGGCCTTGTGCTTTTTATAGCCAGGAAGCTGAGGAGACAACGGATGACAATCTTTTCAAATTTCTAAGCGCACCTTTATTCATATGGTCACTAGAGTGCCTGTAAACCAAATGTAATTGTCATTGTAACCATGAAAGAGACAAAAGGTTGCGAGCAGTTTTGGTTTTACAGCGAATAAAGGTTGCCTGAGATTTTACAAAATTAATAGTATTCATAACAAAATAGATAACTAAATAGGTTGATTAAAAAAAAAGTAACACTCACTTTGCTGGTCGGTAGTCTTTTCCACCAAAGCACTTAAATTGCTGACACCTTTACGGTTAAACGCCTGCATGGCAAACTCGTAAGTAGTGTGTTCATTTAGTGGTCCCACCAACAACGATGTCAATTCGGCTCTATTAACAGTTTTATTAATCCAGGGAGGAGTGCCGTTAACCCGGTACAAAACGTAATAGCCCAAGACTGCACCTTTAGCTTTGTCGCTACTCAGTACCTAGGTTGTAAAAGTAACAAAACTTTAAAATGATGACCACAACTAGTTTTTACGTGCTACGTGTACATATACTACAGCGCTATTTACCAAACGTGAGGTCAAGATGACTGGATTTTGGCGAAAAAGAACGAGGGTAAAATTAAGCCATCTTTTTTCCTACATGTGACCCTCCACGGGATTTCAGAAATAAGGTGAACGCACGCTCACGGTACACAAGCACGCTAAAACAAAAGAACGAGCTTTTAACACGTAGTTAGCGAGCACAAGCTTTTTAAAATAACAAGCGCGAACCTGTATGATGCCAAGCTAATGGCTACTTCGTTGAGGTAAACTGCGTTCTCACCGTGTTTTTCTGTTCTGCTAGTCTCCGAGGTATTTTGTTAAATTTGCAAACCGAAAAGCACGACGGTCCGTGTGGTACAGTGGTAGCGTCATCTTTTTTTTTCTTTATACGAACGGAGTTTACAAAATAATGAAATATCTGATGTACTTAATTTCTTTTAATCAACTGACAGTGTATTTGCCAAACTTTAAGCATTATAGATTCCTCTGACTGTCGTCACCTAATCTGCTTGTAAATGCATTATTTTGGGCAGATAAATGATTTTCAAGTCTGTGTTTTATGCCTTCTTTATTTTCTTAATAATTAGCAATGTTTATATGCTAGGATTAGCCAGAATCAAAATAACTTAGAACGCGGTTTTGTTGAACAATGACTAAACTTCGTTCAATTAACCGATCCATAACTTTTTTATGTTAAATGATGGACTAATTGTTCCATCTCAGTGTTTTCAAAACAAACTAGTTTTCTAAAGTCTGTGAATAAGAGTCCTCCTATTTCCTCTACATTTCGTATTAATGCGAACGGCTATCTGATTCCACTGCTCATTAAAACATGGCGAGTCAAACTTTCTTTGTAAAACAGACACAGGAAAGCGTAATTTTCCGCTATCCAAGTGCTGGAAACTTTTAGTTCCTGACGTGTTGCACCTTGCCATCTCGTCGTCCGTGAAGAGAACATCAACAGAAGCGTTACAGTTACGTTACGCAAGGTATAGACCGCAGTGCTAAACTTAAGTTTTAAAAAAGTAGTTCACGTGTTCAAACTGAGCTCCTCTGGATCTTGTGAAACACGTCGTGCTCACTGATTCCTTGTGAAAATCCTGAAGGAAAGAGCCGTGATTTGCCGTAAATGTTTCCTTTTTATTGTAACTTTCGTATAGGACAGAAGATCTTCTTTATTTTCACTTATATTCTGTACGTAATATACTTTACAAACACCATTCTCAAAATGAAGAAGCTCACAAACACAAGTAAAGATAAGCTAGTGTGTTAAGGAACTTAGCGTGTTACACACGAGCCACAGGTGGGTATCAATGATATTCTTGCTAGGTTTATTGCATCGTGATCTGCATCCATGTACATAACTGCTAAGTTCTAGGTTGCAGACTGAGTCTTTCCACTTGGATTTATGGCACACGGGTGCAATAAATGGAGATTCCGTAACTTACAATTCGGACTAAGAAAAGGAGGTTAGTAAGATATTTATTACCTAAGGTGGAGCCGGACCGTATATATGCGCTATTTACCAAGCGTTAGGACAAGATTCCTAGATTTTGACCGAAAAAAAGGAGTTTAATATCAAGCCATTTTGACCCAACAAGTTTGGTCAATAAGGGAATTATGATTTCGCAAAAGGATTTCGCTTTAATAAAAATCAAGAATGATTTGTTGCGAGAGCCAGAAAAGAAAGCCAACTTTATTTATAGCACAATAAACACACGAGAGTCGTTTATGTTTCCTTTTTTTGATTTTTTTCTGCTAGTTCTTGCGACTTCATCACCAATATTTTCTAAAAGTTACGAACTTTACAAGTTAACGGATTCTTTTTTCTTGCGCGGGATAAAAGCGGATAATCCCGAGTGATTGAGATGATCCCAACTTACGCCCTCGTTTAGCCAATCAGAACACAGAATTACCTTCAAATTGCCCACAGGCGCTGCTGGCTCTATGATGAAATGCGGTTTGGCCCGCTGACCCAAGTTAATTAAGAGTACAGTCCTGTGCATGCTTTTTTGTCCGCACAATTTCAAAGAACCACGCAAAGGTGTGCGCATGGTTGTCGGAAAACTAGATAAAGAATTCTAGATTCACACTTTTCGTCTATCACATGCACTATTGTCTATGTGCAGTCATTTAAAGAGTTTCCGTTGTTTGATTGCTTGACGCGCATGTAATACTGCAATATAGATTAGAAAATTGTACTTGTACTTTATATGCAGAATAAGAGGCAATCAAAGAGAATATAAAGAGCTGAACTTACGATAATTGATATTCTACTTATTAGAATAGGTATTTGAACAAGTAACTCAGGTTTTAAACTCTATCCGACTTAATGAAAAACGCGAATGGGGAAATCGGTAAGAGTTGTCAATACTCTAGTCATAGAAACTTTTATCTGAGGTTACATGCAATATCTGTAATTACCTGCCAGGAAAGATTCACAGCAGTTGAGTTTAGAACAGTCACGACAAAATTGGGAGCCTCGATCTGCACTGCAATAGGGAAGCAATTTCTCATATTGGTCAAAATGTGACAAACAACGGTTACAGCACAAAAATAATTGTTGTACAGGTGTTAAATCAACTCCTGAGGAACTCCTTTTGATCTTCCTTACGAGAGTCACAGATATCCTGATACACTGGAAGTGGCGATTCAAAACAACAGCAGCACGATTTGTTCTCTCAAAACGGACATAACATTATCAGTAGTATTTCTTTGATTCAGTAACTTCAGGAGAGTCAAAAACAAACGATTACAAGAAGTTTAAGAGCGTATGTCCCAATTCCCGGCCATGTTCATGTTGTACATGCTTAGCTTTTATTCAGAACTCTTTTTATACATAGCCAAAAACTACATAGAGTAAGCAGCATACCTGCTTCATCTGTGGTAACATTCAGAATAGGACTGCTGTTACTTCTGCCAATTTTGTTTCTAGCAAACACTCTGATATTATATGTTGTCCAAGGGAAAAGACCTGTGAGAGAGGCAGTTGTGGAGAGACTGGAAACCACACATGCACTTCTTGAAAGTGATCCTTGACAAACAACATCCTTAAAGATCTGATCATGTTCACTGATCTCCACTGTGTAGTTTTCAATGACACTATTTCCATCAAAACCAGCCGTCCAGGAGATATTTACAAATCGTGAACCCTTTGTGTCAACAGTGATGTTCTGTGGTGGGTCTGGAACGACTAGGGAATTAAAAAACATTTAAATAAACACTAAAATAAACACTTGGAAGTATATCCATCTTCACCAAAAGATGTAGACGAGATCGATCGACAGTTTTAAAGATGTTCCACAATGCACAGGTTCCTCGTTAATAAAACGTGAATAATAAGCTCATCTCTCTTAATTATTTCAATAAAACTACTTTGCATGAGATTATTTCCCCAGGAAGTGTATATGCTAGTTCACGGATACTCAATCATAATCCCAGATGAAGAGAGGTTCAGGTCTTAGTTGATGACCTAAGCCACATTTGGAACCCAATCCTTTCCATATTAAAACAACTAAAACAACAGCGCTCCAAGCTATAGTAGTTTTAATTACCACAATAAGTCGAGGAGGAAAACAATGTAAAGTAAAGTTATAACAAAGGTGGCTGATTTGGAAAACTTAATTTGGCCAACAAGAAGAGAGCTGTAATGTCTACACTACTTACTGATTCTGATCAAAGATTTTTTAAAAAAATTTAACACTAAATATATTATTCATAACTTTTCTTTATAAGTGGGATTAACTCACTCACAAACTAGATTTAAAATTCGAGAAGCAACCATGTAATTTTTACTTTTTAACCAAAATAAGGGTTCATTTTTGATAACAAGACATGCAACTGCCGACAAGAAAACGCATGCCCACTCGACAGAAACTGCCATCATCAGTAATTTACCAAGCCACCCTCACACGTAAAGACAACAACACGACAGAAACGTACATCGGACTCACAGAGAACGACTTCAAAACAAGATACAGAAACCACACCGCATCATTCCGCCACGCTAAACACAGAAACAAAGACAACAACAACATGGAGCACTTTATTTCCTGGCGCATTCTCTCGTCACACTCGCCGTACAAGAGCTCAAGTAAAAGATGTTATCTCTGCCTCAAAGAAAAATTCCTTATCATCTGCCGACCCGAACTATCAATACTAAACAAACGTAAAGAACTCGTGTCTTCCTGCCGCCACAGAAACAAAGCCCTCCTACGCAACAACTAAACTGTTAAATTTCGCACTGCATAAATTAGATTATATTGTATATAAGCGATGGTAAAGATTATTCTCATTAAATCCTCTGATGAGTGGGCAACCACGAAACAGGTCTGTGGGGATGAACTTGTAGTTTATTTGTCTTTTTCCTCCCACAATGTATACATCGTTTTACTCCTATGTATTGAGCACCGTTTTACTTAAGTCAAAATTTTCCACACACATACACACGCGCACACACACACACACACACATATACACGGATATATATAACTGCAGATGGTACAAGCCATGCCAGACAACTCGAACTTGATAAACTAGTTATATACGTGTTACTCTGTACAAAAATTGTACAACGTCTATACAACATTTCTAATAAATTCGTGTGGTAATCTCACAATTCACAGAACCAAAAGTAAGTTGGAAGGTGAAAGTAGCTATTGAGCAGTTTTCAAGGATAATATTTTGTAAACGTCCTACAAGAGGAAACGTCCTCGAGTGGTAAAATTTGATTCTTACCTTATGGTTTCAAAGTTGATATAGTGATTCAAACCAGTGGGTGATTAATAAACATTACTGAAGGAAGTAATCTCCACTGATGGACTAGTTTAACTCGTTATCACATACCTGCAATTATGATCAGTGTCGTGTATTGAGTGCTGTTTAAAATATTCGTGACACTACAGGTGTAATTCCCCCCATCCTTTAGGGAAGCTGAACAGATTGACAACTGTATTTCACTCTCATTGAAAGATGGAATTGTCACTCTTGAATCATTCATCATCTTTGAAGCATTTCCAGCAATTACAGTTCCGTCCTTTATCCACTGCACTTCAGACACTGGTGGTGACGCTTCATACCGACATATCAGCTGGATATTGCTACCCTTGGCCACATGTTGCTCCTGATCGCCATCAATTGTAACCTCGGGTTCAACTGAAAAGTAAATAGCGTCGGTGTTAGAGCTAATAAATCATTCGAACGTGCGGCATGCAAATCTCGCTTTGTAGCTTCGTTGATGTCGACCTACATTTAACTTTTTAACAAACAAATGATCATCAATGGACGGCCCAAGAATTTCACAACAGGAAAGTACTGGACAAGGTAACCAACAAAATGAAATAAATCAGATAAAATTTTACAATTAAATAAGTAAGAAAAAAATATTTGAGAAAAGACTACAGCTGCACTACCCATTTCGGCATCAAGAGCGTGCATCCAAAGGGTAATTGTGCCACTGGTTAAAATAAACGACCATTGCATCCAATTTCGAGAATGGGAGAGCAAAGACATGACCACTTTATAAGGTTCAAGGATGTCTTTGCAACTGCTACAGATTGTAAATACAGTTAGAACAAGTAAGACCTGGAAATTAAAGGGTTTACAACACTTACAAAGAACATCTACTCTGGAATTTGAGGTAACATTTCCAACTCCGTTTTTCGCCTCACACTGGTATTCACCGCTATCCGTTCTGCTTATATTCGTTATTGTCAATCGCTTACTTTCCTGTGAAAGGCCGATCCTAGAATTGCTTGTTATGGGAGATCCATCTTTGACCCAGGATATTGATGGTTCTGGATTTCCAGTGGCGTTACAGAACAGAATCATCTTTTCTCCCTCTATGGGAGTTTTCCCCTCTGGACGGGTGGCGATTAAGGGTAACTCTGTGTGAAAAAGCAGCAAGATTTGTTTAATTTGATATTTAACATCCCTTCTAATTGTGACGTTTGCATTTTCAATCAAGGGACTAACTTGAAACAGAATACGCTAGCAGCCATAACTTGTAACGGTTCACTGAATAGAACAAACACGAGGGTTTCATTCGTAATTATGGAAGAATTGCTTTATCCAACACAATTCAGCTCCTGATTAACCTGAGACAAAAATGGAGCAGATTGGGTTGATAAGTTTTTTTGAAATAGTACTCTTGGTGCTCCACGTGAATGATTAGGTCTTCACCTGAGATTATGTATTTTTTGGCATTGGTGGGACTAGTTCAATCCCGCAGTTCTTTAAACAGCTGAAGATTTTGAATTATCATTTTTCTGATTGTGGATTGCATTGATTCTGTTGTAACGTCGCATGGTCCTCATTGCCCTCCGTTCTTCTCCAAAATGAAAATGCAAACCCGCTTTTCCAACAAGTAAGTCATCCGGGTGGTGAGGGAATTTTAAAGAAGCCCCTCTAGAACCTTGTGAGAGCGCTTACGGTAAATGTGACTCCCACTGTTCCACCAATTTGAATTGCCCATTGCCGAAAAAAGAGGCAAGAGTGGTTAGTGCTTTGTAGCATAAAATACCTTGGCTTATGACTGACGTCTTCTGGGATGAGTTACCAACCGAATTAATGATAAGGCAAGTGTAGTTTCCAGCATCCTGAGATGTACTTTGATTTATAAGTAACTGTATTTGACTTTTATTGTAATATAGAACAGAAAAGCGGGACTCGTTGACCAGCAGGCTAGAATTTCTAACAATCACATCTCCATCTTTTATCCACTGCGCTTTAGAAACTGGTGGTAAAGCATCGTACTTGCAGATGAGTTTCTTTGATTTACCAACAACTGCAAACTGTCGTGGACCATCAATAATTGTGACATCTGGTTTATCTACATTAAAAATAAAAAAAAAAGTTTTCTTTTCTCGACTCTATTGATTGCCCGATAGACATTCAAGATAACGAGACTCTGATTGGTTGTCAAAACCAAATGATCGATTGTTTGTAAAGAACGTAAAGCCACGGAAGGCTTTTGCGTGGAGAGCAGAATAAACCATCTCAGCTTCACAACAAAACTTCAAGGTCATTTATCGAGACATACATTTTACTTACAAAGAACTCTTAAGGTAGTGCCATTGGACGTAACATTTCCGATGCTGTTTCCCGCCACACATCGGTACACTCCACTGTTTCTTCTACTCACATTCTTGACAGTTAGCTGCTTTCCTTCGTAAAACAAATTCATTCTAGAACTGTTACTGGTGTCCACAGAATTCCCATCTATAGTCCATGTTATTGTCGGTAGTGGATTTCCACTGGCATTGCAAAATAAAGTAACTTTGTCTCCCTCGATTCTCTGAATCGTTCGTGGAAGAGGGCTGATATTGGGTTTATCTACAGCCGTCCGTATGAGACAAGCAAAATCACCAGCAGAACATTTTAAAGAAAAGAAATTAATATTTTCAGTTTCCTATGAGATGTATCTGATCTGTTCCTAAAAAGTCTAAACAGTCCTACTAGGGACCAAAATGTGGAAAGGTGGGGAATACGATTTTCAGATTGATATTAAAATCTACTCAGATTTAAGCACCAACAGATAACAGTATTATGCCTCGAGCTTAAATCAACTTTACTGAAAAAAAAAATGTTTCTACAAGGACTTGTGCTTCGGTAATTGACTTCTCGAATGCCGATTTCTGCACAGAAAAATGTGACGATCGTATGAAAAGACTGGGCTAACAACCCCAGAATGTCGGATTTACTCTGAGTATTTTACGATAAAAAAAAACTAAGACGGGCATTGGAATTGAAGGAGATAAAAATGCGGCAATGAATACAGGAACATTTAACATTTAAAAGCTCTCCGACATAAAATAAGCATCGAATTTGACGTCATCAAAATATGAGATAATTTCTAATTTCAAAGTAAGATACTTCGTGACAAAGCTACCCAAGTATTGTACTTACATAGCACTCCTAGGTAAGCAGGAATGGAGGTATCATTTCCAAGACTGTTGGCGGCCACACATCGGTATGCTCCGCTGTCTACTCTGTTCACATTCGTTATAGTAAGGTGCTTGTTATCCGCTGACAAACTAACCCTGAAGTTGATACTAAGAGGTGATCTTCCCTTATTCCATGATATTTTTGGTACAGGATTCCCCATAGCGGTACAAATAAAGGTGGCATTGTCTCCTTCTTTTCTAGTTTCATTCTGCGGATGAGCGGTGATCCCTGGTATGTCTGTAAGAGGAAAAAAACCGTGAGTTTGTGTTGTTTTGTGAAAAGTGAACAACATCAACACCTTCGTGCAACAGGTGTGTTGGAATATTTGTTGTGGGTACCAGCGGTGATATCCAAACATATCCTAGCCTCCGTTTGTCTAGACGACACAAATTAATGACTATTGACATTCATTGGTTCAAATCATAGGCTTTGGCCGTAAATAATGCAATCTCTCACAATTTATATGGGAAATCTTACTTGCACTGCATTTACATGTCATCCTAAATCATTTCCTTTCATTCGTAAAATTTTGGTACTTCTCCTCCAAGTAATGCAATTGAATGATTGTCACCCTAACGACATATCGTACTTACATATCACATCCAGTGTAGCAACTTGGGAAGAAGCATTTCCGAGGTTATTGAACGCCAGACATTGGTATTCTCCGCTGTCAGTCCTGCTAATATTCGTTATCGTCATTTTCTGTCTGTCTCTAGAAAAAACAATCCTAGGGTTGTCATTTGTATTGTTGAGAGACCCTTTAAAGATCCATGATATATTTGGTTCTGGAATTGCTATGGCGTTACAAAACCAAGTGACATTTTCTCCTTCCGATTTAGTGGCATTCAAAGGATTGAGAGCGACCTCCGGTTGATCTGCAAAAAACAACAATAATCATAACCAACAATATCAATAGACATTAAATATCACTCCACTCTTTTTTCGGGTAAACTAAAATGGTCATTACAGATCACAAACATTTCAAAATCGAAGGAATAATTCACCCAACCATCTAAATTCCATGATATTCAGAAAAACAAGAGCCGAAAGGACAAAAAATTTTCTTACATTGGACACTCAGTGTGCTGACATTGGACGAAACATTTCCACGACTGTTCTGCGCCACACATAGGTATTCCCCGCTATCTGCTCTGTTTACGTTCGCTATAATCAAATGTTCACTGTTATTTGTGAAAGAAATCCTAGAGTTGCCGCTTGTATTCAGTAGAGATCCATTCATGATCCAGCGTACTGACGGTGTTGGTTCACCATCAACAATACAGGATATAGTCACGCTAGTTCCTTCGACAGGTCTGGTATGCGTTGAATTAATGTGTGGTTCTTCTAAATCTGTAATAATCCGCAAAAAAACACCGGCAATTAATATAACACAACACCTTTTAATTACAGCTTCGTTAATCGATAGTTGTAGACAGCCGTCACATAAGAGTACCAGTTCCCTTACTGACTTTTACGGTGGCTAAGCTTTCCAATAGGAAGATATGGCCGCAATTGCCCAGAATTGGAAAATCATGCAACTAGTCTTTTTTCTCTCTTTCGGCCGCCGCCAGCTTAATCTGTCACCAGTCCGCCCATGCCACGTTCCTTAGTTTCTTCTGAGGATGATCTCAGACACGTTCCCTTTACAAAACCCGTATGGTGAACAAGAGCTGCCGGTCCAGGAAGCGATGGCCTTAGGCCGAGAATTTGTTCTCCATGGTGAAAGAGGGCACATAACCTCACTAAACAGCAAATGCTCTCCCCACGTGAGCTAGAATGGTGGTTAAAATAAGTCTTAAGCGGACAGAATATGCTCAATGTTCAACTTAATAACTACGAACTAATATTCATCATAATCCATCAAAAAATACGATGAAGTTCAGATATAGCGCGTGCTCTCATTGAGTACAAAACACGGGGTCACAACAGCCGATTTTTACGGACGCTGTAACCCTGAGAAATTGTCTTGTTCCTGCGAATTCGGCCATCTTTCATTCATAAGAAACACACGTTAAGAAGTTTGTTTTCTAATTGTCATGTGAAAAAAAAAATCTTACAGCTTTCATGAGCCACAATTCGGCCAAATTTCACAAAACATTTCACTTTCAGACTCTGTATTCAGACTGAAGAAACCATAAGCAAGTGTTGAATTCGACCTGCCGAACTATTTCAGTTGGTGAACTATTACAGGTTGTGAACTTTGACGGTTTGACTTTTTTGACAGCTTTAGTCTTATTCAACTTAACGGGTTAATTGAGCCTCGTGCTTCCTACAAGGCATGGGGAGACACTCGACTACTCTCACGTTTCTCCCTGCCCTTCTTTCGTGCTTTAGCCACGTCCCGAATATCCCTCCCTCCCCAACTAAAACTGGGAAATCTCCAAGGATATACCCTCAAGTGATATTCCCCAATTTTCATACTAACGTCCATTACTGTTTGGAAATTAATTCAAGATGATAGAGCGTCTTGTCGTAGTTACTGAAGAAGGGATATGTTTGTTTGTTGATAAGGTAGTACCAGAGAACACTGAAAAGTAAACATCCCAAGCGGCTAACGGTAATCAGTTCGTAAGTATTGTTTTCACCACGCGTTGCAAAAATATTTGAAAGATAATAAACACATTAGTCTCCATTTGGCGCAAAAAATATTCTCGTATATTTGACTTCTGTTTCTCAAGGCTCATAGTTTTCGACAAGCTTCGCTCTCGGAAAACTGTTTGCATCTCGAAACAGATAATGTCCTAGGACAAATATCCGTGCAAATGTGTCAATGGCAAAATCAAAGACTACTAAAATTATTTCCCATTGGCTTGTGTAACCTTATTTCACAGTTCTTTGTACTTACACAGTACTGAAATCTCCACTGCACTTGAACTTCTTTGTCCATATGGATAAGTACTTACTTCTAACCTGTAGCTTCCTTTGTCCAATCTATTCACTCCCAGAAAAGTAATTGATGTGTAGTCATTTGTTATGTTAACGTGTAAGCGACCACTGTACGAGCGGCGTATCAACGGTACGCTATCGGAGGCCAATTTTTCCGCAATCTGCACATAACCATTTTCAAATACCGCCATACGGAACTTTTCCTCTTCGGTAAATGTGTACCTCCATTCCAGTGTAACATTGGCACCTTCCACGGCAAGGAATTGTTTTGTGGGTTTTTTAGTGAACACTGGCTTCCCTAATGATACAAACGATAAAACTTTTTCGGCTTCACCAAGTTTTTACTCTATACTGTGATTTTTTCATTTCTATTTTAATAAATGAAATAAATAAGATACTTCAAGGGCCCTGATCGGTCAAAAAGCTACCATTTATTGCACCGGTTAGCGCAAAGAAACTTGAAAGGCATACCGTGTTTTCGGTTATAACCTCAATTTTTAAAGGCATAGAAACCACACTTCCCATTGGTTACCGGCATTGAGTTTCCGCCGTGACGTATTAGCAAAGGAATTTTATATTTGTTGTCATTCTGACATTATTCTTAAAAGATGAACGCTTTTCGCCTGAGGATAGCACTTTCTCGCGTTTATTTTTCCTCGTGTGGTTGGAGCTTTGTGGCTCAATGCGTGAAAAATAGAAAAACTTAACGAATAAACTCAGCTATTTGTCATCGAAAGTGCCATGGTCATTTGGAACAGAGAATAAACAATTTTATCAATTCAGGTGACTATCACGAGCTAACACGGAAGTCTCGAACGACGCATGTATGGCACAAAATCTCAGATTCGTAACAGCAGGCGACGAACAAGAAAAAAAATTGCCTCTTTCTGGTTCGATACATTTAATGGAGCGTTTACTCTTACTAACACTGTGTTATCCCGTGGAAACCACTTTCACTTTTGCGCTGGATTTCCATGTTTTCTATACACATTAGGCACGTACACGTATTTCTCGTCGGGTTGTCTATGTCTGTCCCACAGTTCTTACGGTTCTCGTGGTAGTTAATAGCCGCCGCTTTCTCTGTCGAGCCTTACATCACGAAAGTACGAAACACGGTTGGAAATGGCAGGGTGCCTTACTTTCTCTACAGTCGTTGTTGACATGTTCACTTCATCGGCAGAAATATTGGACAAGATGGCGGCCGCGCTTGCGCATTTCGTCCATAATGGCGTCCAAATAATATAAGAAACTGTATGGAAATTTGTAAAAATTTCTAAAATATAACAATCAGGAGCTCATGGTCCCGTCTGCTTTCGATCGAGACATATTCAATACTGATTCTGCTATTCATCAAACCTCACAGGGACTCGATAAATAAAAACCACTTACTTCCCGAGCCAGTTCTTTTGTCATTGATCATTGACCTAGGTCGCCATACAGTTCTTCAAAATCCGTCGTTCTCCATCCCAAACACTCGCCTATTACAGAAAAGTGCATCAATAAAGTCAACTGCTCTCGATCGAATTGACTGCTACAGAGTTCGAAGCGTCCAAATATCCTGTAAAATTGCCATTTCCTCCCATCAAAAAACTTCCCAACGCGCCAGAATATCCCTTATTTTCCATGTTGAGTAAGTGAAGAGACGCCATGTTGAAAACTATGACTGAAATAGTTAAACACGCGCAACGCTGATCTTCGAATCGTCGGCCATATTTGTTTATGTTCTTGCAGGGAAATAAATTAGTTCGCGGTCCTTTTCGGAATAAAAATATGCCAGGCATTGAATGCAAATTCAGTAGTCTTAGCGCGAAAATTAAATTAAAGCAAATCAAAATTCTGACATCATGTCATCGCTCTGCCTCGAAAAATCCCAAAGATTTATTTGCAGGTCTTCTTTAATTCTCTTTTCATCAAATAGAAGATCTGCGGTGCTCAAATTGTATAAGTCGCGGTACGAAACACTCCTCTTTGCAGATCGAGCCGTGATTGCCGCCATATTGAATTCTCTTGATATTCTATTGTTACGGAGTGTAATACGATATACCGCTGATAATTGTTAGCGGGCTCGAAATGTCCTTGATTTCTGGGGAAAGCACACTCCGACATCCGTCAGAAGGAGGTCATCTCGGGTAGATTTCCGATTACGAAATCCGAGCTCGCCCGATGTTGTCTTCGTGATGAAGGCCCTATTTAGCATATTAGACCCGCAAAACAGAGTAGAAACGAACACGTGCTTCGTTTTTGCTCATGACTTCGTATTAGCGTTAAGATATTTGCATTTTTTTCCGTTGCTTACCTATATTACAGACTCCAAAAAATTTTTGCGATGCCTCCTTTTCACGGATGGCCGATTACAACTACAACATAGTGACACCTCCACGAAATCTGTCAAAAGGAGGATGTTAAAACACCAGAGGTCATCTCGGGTAGATTTCTGATGACGAAATCCGAGCTCGCCCGATGTTGTCTTCGTGATGAAGGCCCTATTTCGCATTTTAGAGCCGCAAAATAGAGTAGAAAGGAACACTTACTTCGTTTTCGCTCATGACTTTGTATTAGCGTAAAGATATTTGCATTTTTTTCCGTTGCCAACCCATATGACAGATTCCACAAAATACATTTGACGCCTCCTTTTCACGGATGGCCGATCACAACTACAACGTAATGACATATTCACGAAATCTGTCAAAAGGAGGATTTTAAAACACCGGAAATCTTCTGGATTTCTGATGAAATAAATTTAACGCAGTTACGTTCAGAGTTTAAGCGATATATTGTTATTTCTAATATGGTAATTGATAAAAAATTGTACATTACCTCGATTGGACGGAGATTAAGTTTGAATATAATGTAGCAGGCGATATTACTTTTTTTTCGACAAGGATAATCCGTGACTTGTCTCACCTATTACATTTTCTCTATCTGCGTTGTGCCATGATCATCATTGAAAATATTCTACGATAATATTTTTTTTACAATATTTAGATGAGGATTTTCAATTCTAAACGCAAGAGCGTACTTAGGGAAAGATCTATAGGAAACAGTTTCTCATGAATACATTTTAAAAATTCTTTTAGCTGACTTCTACATAGATAAAAAAATTACTACACATATATATTTCACTTCGACGATTATCTTAATAAACAATTAATGGGAAGTTCTGAGAATCAGTTTTTAATACTACATGTTAAATTAATGGTTATTTTTCTCTTCCTGCTTAAGGGCTCTTTCGCAGTTTGGACAACGCCAGTTTGCACTTGAATCTTCCAAAATAATTGTTGAAATGCATTTCCTGTGAAAAAACTCCTTGCAGCTACAACATTTCACACAACGAGAAGGAGACTTCGAGTCTGACTCTTCCCTCGGCATTCTACACTCGCACATTACCGAGACCTCTTGAACAAAAAGTGGCCTCCTGTC